TTTTGGCGGACATCTGAAAAGTCCAGTGGGAGATCTATTATAGTTTCAAGCAGGGCAGGATTCAGGGCTAAAATAATACTGTGAGATTTGTTCTTTTGTTCCTCTCTTCTCTATCTTCTGCTGCTTTGGTGCTATTCACATGTTGCATGTGGAGGCAAGAGTTTCAGAGCATCAGCATCCAGGTTCTCACCTGGCAGAGGAGAACAAGGCTCTGTTCCAGCACTCACCAGGAAACTTCATTGCCCTGGTCTGATTGCGACCTCTGAGCCTATCCCTATGGCTTATCACTGGGTCACGCTCCTAGAATCCAAGTGTTTCAGGAAGAGAACACAGACTGAGAATAAAGGAGGAAGGGAAGGAGGAAAGGATGGATCCTCAGAAGGAAATAGGTGGATGGTAACTAGAAGGATAGTGGATGAATGTTGTGTGGCCAAAATGACAGTTTCACAATTCGTACACTTGGACATATGGAACTCATTTTGTATTGTTTCCTAGGGCTTTCAGAACAAAGTACCACCATTTTGGTGGCTTAAATGGAAATCTAATGTCTAACAGTTTGGAGGCTGGAAGTCCAAGATCAAGGCATTCGCAGGGTTGGTTCTTCCTGAGGGCCATGAAGGAAACTGTTCCATGCCTCTCTCCTAGCTTCTAGAGGTTTGTTGACATTCCTTGGCTCGTAGATGCATTACCCTGAATTTTGCTTTCATCTTCGCTTGGCATTCTCCTTGTGTGCACATTTCCCCTCCTAATAAAGATACTAGTCATACTGCATGAGGGTCATACTTTAGTATGACCTCCTCTTAACTCAGTGATTTTCAACCTGTGTGCCGCAAGAATTTTTAAAACATGCAATGCCTGCCCTAACTGGTTTGGCTCAGTGGATAGAGCATTGGCCTGTGGACTGAAGGGTCCCAGGTTCGATTTCATTCAAGGGCATATACCGTGGTTGTGGGCACATCCCCAGTGGGGGATGTGCAGGAGGCAGCTGATTGATATTTCTCCCTTATTGATGTTTCTAACTCTCTGTCCCTCTCCCTTCCTCTATGTAAAAAAAAAAAATCAATAAAAATATATTAAACAAACAACAACAACAAAAAACAAAAACATGTAATGCCTTACCAGGAAACAGTATTTAGTCAGGGTCACTGACGTTTCTTTCCTGAGACTGTTAAATAAAAAAAAAAAATGACAACAGCCAACACAACAATAGCTGGTGTGAACAAATCAAAATTATAACTATTTTTTTTGTCAGGCCAGCAAAAAAATATGATAAAAATTTTGGTGTGCTACAGAATTTTAGTAATTAGTTAATATGTGCCATGAGATGAAGAAGGTTGAAAATTGCCATCTTAACTCATTATATCTGCAACGACCCTATATTCAAACAAGATTATATTTTGAGGTGCTGGGGGGTTTGGGCTTCAACATATGGACTCTGGGAGGGCACAATTCAGCCTATGTTTCCACACACTTAGTATCTCTGGCTCCATTTAAAACATGCCCAGTCTGAGTTTGCATGATGAATCTGGTTGCCTCTCTCCTTCCACTGTATGGGCTAGGCTGGATGATGTGACTTTCAGTGTTATTTCCATGTAATTTAGTGATTAAGTGTTCAGGGGCTAGGAATACATCCGCTGCCTGAATGCACACCATAGCCACATCACACACTAGCTTGACAATCTCTCAAAACCTGCCTCCTCAACCAGTAAAATGTGGTCCATAATCCTTCACTCATTGGGTCAGTGTGGGCCAGGCGCTCAGTAAATGTTAGTGTGACTGTTCCATCTCTTCAAACACGTGAGGCCTGCAGAGCCACAAGAATAGTCTAGAGTTCTCAACCTTTAGTGAAAATTCGACTCCCTTTCTCCTTAACATTCTGCTGAAAGAAGTTCAAGAAGGGGGAGGGTGCCTTGTTGTCCTGCAAACAGGACTACAAATCTGTTTCAGAGAACACAATTATTTCTCTTTTTCTCCCCCATAGCCAGACGCCATAAATTCTGAGCAGACACGTCTAGGTAATGTGATTACGAAATACCTGTTCCCTTTAGGTCCCAGTTATCTATCTCTTTGACTTCTCCTTTTCCCTAGAACAGCATGATCTTTCCCACCATCTCTTAGCTGTGGGGCTGGAAGCAGTCACTTTATTTACAAGCTCTCTCTTTTTGGCCCCGTAAATTTGGGGAAATGGAGCAGACATCTGCTGCTTTCCGAGGCACCACATCATTCACTTTTATTTTTTCATACTTGGTCTACAGGGCCGGATTTAGCTTGTTGAAATGCTTGTTGAATAACAATTAGAATGTTGGGCTCTGGAAGGCAGCAGAACCTATTTGACTACAGGCCTCCACCAAGGTCAAAGAAAAAAAATGTGGTCACTTTCATTTAGCAAATATTTCTTAAGTGCTGACTCTGTGCCAGGTGCCATGCTAAGCACCAGGGTCATAACAATGAACAAGAGAGCTACTGTGCCTACCCTTGAGGACTTCACATCCTGGGGACATTCATTCATACACAAAATATATGAGAACTTTCTACATATCAGGTATTGTTCACCATTAAACAAAATAGAAACAATCCCTGCCCTGATGGCTATGGTGTGTGTTTGTGTGGAGGGGGATGGGAGGTGGACAGAATACAATACATATAATTTTTTTATCATGTAAAAAGACAGGAAGTGCTATGAAAAAATTAGAACAGAGTAAGGGGGATTAGGAATGTGTGTGTGTGTGTGTGTGTGTGTGTGTGTGTGTGGTTTATAATTTTAAATAGGGGGGTCAAGGGAGGTCTCATTCATTGGAAAGATGCTATTGAAGCATCCATCTTATATAAAAACTGCTGTTTAAAATTTAACCCTGCTATTTTGGCTTCTGTAAATGCTTGTTTGCTTAAATAAGGAAAATAAGACTACTCCCATTCCAGAGAAGCCATAAACCTTCCCCAGACAAAGTTATCAGTGCTGGCACCAGGCCAAGCCTTAAAGCCCCAGCACATAGGGCTCTTTAAGAACTTGTAAAGGGGACTGGAAAACCCCATATTTGGGAGACAAAGAAGGTAAAAAGATATAAATAGGGAAACTTCCTCCATGTTGGGGCCCAGAATTTGAAGGATATTTTTCTCTGGACCCATGCATAATAATAATAATAATAATAATAATAATAATAATAAATGTAACTCCATCTCTCTAAGCACTGCTTGGTTTTTCTCTGGTTTTCCTGTAACACTATCAGAACAGACTTGAAAGCAAGGTAAGGGGAAGGCAAGGGGGCCTGGGTATTTGGGGGAGAGCAAGTCCAAAGGCCCTGTGGCATGAGGGTACTTAGCTTTTTCAAGGACAAGTAAGTAGGCTGGTTTAGCTGGAGCTGAGTGAACAAGGTGACGAGTTAGGTGCAGATCAAGTACAGCTTTTAGCCCGAGTGAAATGAGGAGCCATCAGCAAGTGCTGAGCAGCAGAGGGACATGATCTTAGATTGCAAAGGATGACCTGGCCGCAGTGTGTAGGCTGGACTGCAGGTGCCTGGTGGCAGCAGGGAGGCCAGGGTCATCCATCACCTGGGTGAGGCAGTAGTGACAAAGGCCCACAGGTTGGAGGAAGCGGTACGGCTGGGAGTGGTGAGAAGTGGTCGGATTGTGGATCTGTTTTGTAGACAGGGCCAACACGATTTTCTGACTGACTTGATGTAGAGTGTGAAAGAGGAGGAAGGTCAGACAGAGGGTAGGGGAGGATGGGGATAAAGGGGAGAGATCAACAAAAGGGACTTGTGTGTATACATATAGCCTATCAGTGGTCAAAGATTACAGGGGGGGGGTTATACGTGGGGAGGGGTGTGGAATGGGAATGGGGGGATGAGGACAAATATGTGATACCTTAATCAATAAAGAAATTTAAACAAAAAATAAAAACTTGAAAGAAAAAAAAAAAAGAAGAAAGAGGAGGAAGGGATGGCTCTAAGATTTTGGCCTGAGCGTCTGAAAGAACAGAGTAGCCACTGACTGATGGCAAAAACGTTTGGTGGCACACGTTTTTTTGGTGAGTAGGGCTAGGAGCATATTAGCTAGCCAAGTGGAGTGGATTTTGAAGCCATCTAGAGAAGTGATTTTGGGGACAACTCTAAGACCTTAGGATGTGAGACCCTACGGAACTGGCTGCGTGTCCCTCCTCTTCGCCCTCCTTGGAAGGCGCCTCTTTGAGCTGCAGTCCTTTCAGAGAACAAAGCCTTTCCTTCCTCTTTGGGGGCTGGTGAGAAAAATGAACAGAAGTGACACACCCTCTAACTCGCAACACTACGATACAAACTGATGAATGGAGTGGATCAGAGACATGGAAGCATGGAACAGAGTGCAGAAACTCTGAGGGAAGGCGGGGGAAGGGTTGTGGGTGGGAGGTAATCAAAGACCTTGTATGTAAATCTTCATAATCCATGGACTCCGACAATAGGGTGGTAACAGGCCTGTGGGGTGGAGAGGCGGGAGGCCGAGGGCGGGACCGGGCTGGATGGGGACAATGGGGGGGGGGAAAGGGGGACCTATGTAATACTTTCAACAATAAATAATTCTTTTAAAAATTAGTCTCATTGAATCCCTAACCACCCCCCCCCCCCCTCTTGCCTGCAAAAGAATGAGAACCCATCGGCAAGCGCTTAGCAGTAGAGGGACATGATCTCAGGCTGCAAAGGACTGACCTGGCTGCTGTGTGCAGGCCAGACTGCAGGTGCCTGCAGGCTGGAACCGCCCCGCCCCGACCTGGGTGGTGGGCGGGACCCGGCCTTCTGGGTGGGCGGGACCTGATCCTGCGGGTGGGCGGGGCCGGGCGCTGCGGGTGGGCGGGGCCTCGGCGCCCACGCACGCCACAGCCGGGGGCGTGGCCGGCGGGCGCGCGCGCCTAGCAACTCGCGCACCGGCCGGCCTCCCTCCCTCCCTCCGTCCTCCCCCTCCCTCCATCCCTCCCGCGGGTGATCAGCTGGTCTGTGCACCCCTGACGTGGGCTGGGCACGTCACCGCGAATGGCAGCCTCCAGGAAGGCACCGCGAGTAAGGTGAGGAGGCCGCCCGGGAGCCGTAGGGCGCAGGGCGCGCGCGGCTCCCCGGGCCCGGGGCGCGTGTGGCCGTCCCGAGGGCGGGGACGCGCCGGGGTAGAGCGGCGGGCGGCCCGCTGCAGGCGGGGAAGGCCGGGGCCGGCTGGAGACACCCCCCAACCCCCGCCCCCCAGAGCCAGAGCTGGGGGAGGGCGCCCTGCAGCGGGCAAGTTCCGGGTTGTTTCAGGCGGGGCCGCGGGCACCCCCAGGCTGCCCGAGCCGGGTCCGGGCGCCTGAGGAGTGTGTCTGCGGAGCCGGCGGGTTCGGCCGGAGGGGGCGGTGACTGTGGCCTTCCCGGCCCGCTGCGAGGCCACGCTGTTTCTGGAAGTTGACGCCCCCTGGCTCCTCCGGCGAGTCCCTGCCCTCGCCCCTGGGCCCTGGGAATCTAATCCGCCATGTACAACCCTGAGGGTACCGACACGTGCGATTCGCCGGACTGATTTGTCACCGGAACAAAGATAGGCAAACGCGGGCTCCTCCCCGCCCCAATGGTTGCAGAAGGCTGTGTGAGGCCGTGCTTTGACATCATCTCTTGAGGCCGTACTTTGACATCATCTCCTGGGGATGCCCATCAGTAACATGTCCTGTCTTCTCCCCGGATAAATCCCCAAGTCTCACATTAAATACATTTCAGCCTCCCCCCACCCCCCGCCCTACCCCCTTCTTGGCTGCTGCCAGAGTATACTTACTTACCAGAGCAGCTAACAGACCAGGAGCCTGAGAGGGAGAGAGACATGCAGTGTTCACCAAGGCCAGAAGCCAGACTCCCTGGAGATCCACATGGGGTCAGTCAGCCATCCTCTAACCCGTTGACATTTGAATGAACATGCTTGGCACTCTAGCCAGGCTCACTTGACGAACACAGGCCATGTGAGTTGGACAGATCAAAAGCCGACCTTGACGTGGACGTGGCCTTGCTGTAGCATGTTAGGCATGAGATGCGGCAAACTTGCATGTGGAAGCAGCAGCCTGCAGGTTCCATGCTGAAAGTGGGGTCAGGCAAGCTCATCACGATGAGTTAGGCCTAGGTGGAGGACCAAGGTGGTCTTTGCTGAGTTTACAGCATCACAATATTGGAGGGGCAGAAGAGTCCTTCAACATTAGCTGATAAAACTTCTTTACCTTGCACAAGAGGCCATCAGAGGCTGAGAGAAGGGAGGTCATTTGCCCCAGGCACCTCCCCTCTGGCAGAATTTGAATGCCAATCAGTGTAAAAGTGAGGTGCTTTAGGTGATGGAAATTGAACTCGAATTGATGTAGGTAGAAAGGGGTTGAGCTGGCTTCCGGGGCAGCTGAGTCAGTAGACCAACACTGGCATCAGTCTTCCCTCTCTTCCTCATCTCCTGGCTCTCATTTCTTCAGCGCTGGCTTCACTGATAGGCAGGTTTTCCTCATGGCAGGCCAGTAGCCGTTCTAGGCTGACAGCCTTTGCAGAAATGGAGTCTTTCTAGAACTTATTGGTTGGAGCAGAAATCTGTCTCCCTGGACTGATTTGATCGTTTAGACCAGTGGTCAGCAAACTCATTAGTCAACAGAGCCAAATATCAACAGTACAACTTTTGAAATTTCTTTTGAGAGCCGAAAACTGACTTCTGCTCATGGGCCATGAAGTTTCAATCGCACTGTACATGCGTGCCCGCACATGATATTTTGTGGAAGAGCCACACTCAAGGGGCCAAAGAGCCGCATGTGGCTCGCGAGCCGCTGTTTGCCGACCACTGCTTTTGACTATCCTGAACCAGTCATTGTAGCTGGAGAGATGGATTGACCAGATCTGGATCCCAGAACTTAGTGAGTGACTCTTCTCAACTCTGTGGACTGAAACTGGAGTCTCCAAAAGAAAACTAAGGTGCTCTCATCAAAAGGAGAAGAGATGGATTCTGGGTAGGCAAAGACAACATTACTCACATCTCCACCCTTGAACTTGTGCTATTCTACCTTTTCCTTACCTCATGGGATATGATTGAGGATCTTGGTGGTCCTTGTTTTTTGGCACCATCCTGAGTGATAGATTTTCATCATGAGCTGGGGAGGGTGGAGAGTAACAAGAACCTTGCTAGGATTTCTTTAAAAAGAGAGAGGGGAAAAAATGTGCTATAACTGTTCTATGCAAAGTTCTCTGCGCCCTTCTTTTCCCTGACCCACCAGTGGCACTTCATGGTGTCGAGAAGGTGTAGACTGAAGGAGTCTTGGGAAGGGGAACAGCACTGAGTCCATTTGAGAGTCCTGGCCTCTAGTTCTAGACAATCTCCATCACCAAATTGCTGTGAGGCCTTGAGCAAGTTCTTTGATCTAAATTTTGAATATTATGAACAATATTGTTATGGACATTTGTGTACAAGTTTTTATGTGGACTTATGTTTTCAATTTCTGTACCTAAGAGTGGAATTGCTGGTTTATAGGAAAACTCTATTTGAGGAACTTTGGGCTGTTTCCAAACCTAAATTCCCTACAGCAATGTTTGAGGGCTCTAATTTTTTCACATTCTTGCCCTTACTTGTTATTGTCTGTTTGTTTTTTAAATTATAATCTTCCTAGTAGATGTGAAGTGGCATCGCATTGTGGTTTTGATTTCATTTCCCAAATGGATAATGACATTGAAAATCTTTTCATATGCTTTTTAACTATTTGTATATCTTAGACATTGAAATGTCTATTTAGAGCCTTCAACTATTTAAAAATTGGCTATTTTTTCCCTTGAGTTGTAATAGTTCTTTATATACATTGTATACTGAACTTTTACCAGATATATGACTTGCAAATATTTTCTTCTCATTTTATGGATTATCTTTTCACTTGTGTCCTTTGAAGGATAAAAGTCATTCATTTAACGATGTCCAGTATATCTTTTCTTTTGTTGCTTATATTTTTGATGTCATATTTGAGAAATCATTGCCTAATCCAAGGTCAGACAAATTTATGACTGTTTTCTTCTAAGAAAACATTCATGTGTATAATCTATCTTGAGTTCATTTTTGTGTATGGTATATATAGTGTGAGCTTTGTTTTTTTGCATGTGGATCTCCAATTGTCCCAGCATCATTTGTTGAAAGGACTATTTTTCTCTATTGAATGGTTTTGGCACCCTTGACAGTAAATGTGAGGGTTTATTTCTGAACTCTCAATTCTACTTCATTAATCTAGAAGTCTATCTTTATGTCAGTACCACACTAACTTTTTAAAAATATATTTTTTATTGATTTATTTACAGAGAAGAAGGGAGAAGGATAGAGTTAGGAAATATCGATGAGGGAGAAACATCAATCAGCTGCCTCCCTCACACCCTTTACTGGGGGTGTGCCTGCAACCAAGGTACATGCCCTTGACTGGAATCGAACCTGGAACCCTTCAGTCTGCAGGCCAATGCTCTATCCACTGAGCCACACTATTTTGGCACACACTATCTTTACTACTATAGTGTGTGCACTATCTTGACTACAATAGTTTTATCATCTTTGAAGTCATGAAGATTGACTCCTCCAAATTTATTATTTTTCAAGGTTTTTTTTTTTTTGGCTATTACTTTCATTAATTTTAGGATCTACTTGTCAATTTCTTCCCAAAAGTTAGCTGGAATTGATGGGTATTGCATTTACTATAGGTTACTTTGTGGAGTATTACCATTTTAACAATGTTAAGTCTTTCAATCCATGAACATAGAATAGCTTTCTACTTATTTAGGTCTTCTTTGTTTTCTTTCAACAATGTTCTGTAATTTTTGCAGTGTAGGTTTTGCATATCTTTTGTTTAAGTTTATTCCTAGGTATTTATTGTTTTGATTCTATTGTAAATGAACTTTTTAAAATTTCATTTTTGAATTGTTTATTTCAAGTGTATGTAAATATAATTGATTTTTAAAAAAATATATTTTATTGATTTTGTACAGAGAGGAAGGGAGAGAGATAGAGAGTTAGAAACATCGATGAGAGAGAATCATCTATCAGCTGCCTCTTGCACACCCTCTACTGGGGATATGCCCGCAACCAAGGTACATGCCCTTGACCGGAATTGAACCCGGGACCCTTCAGTCCCCAAGCCGACGCTCTATCCATTGAGCCAAACCGGTCCCGGCCTATAATTGATTTTTACATATTACTTTTGTATCTTGCATTCTAATTTTTGTCTGTAGTCTCTTTAGGATTTTTTTAATATTTAAGATAATGCCATTTGCAAATAAATAGTTTTACTACTTCTTTTCTAACATGAGTGCCTTTTAACTCAATTTCTTGCCTGATTGACTAGAAATGGCAAGAGTGGACATGTCTGTCTAGTTTCTGATCTAATGGGGAAAGCATTCAGCCTTTTAACAATAGGGGTGATGTTAGCTGTGGGTTTTGTAATATTCTTAATCAAGTTGAGGAATTTCTCTTCTAGTTTATTCCATACTTTTATCATGAGGGGAGTTGGATTTTGTCAAATGCTTTTTCTGTCTCTACTAAGGTTATCATGTAATTTTTGTTCTTTTTAAAAAAAATTATATATATATTTAATTTTATTTTTTTTTATTAAATTATTATCTGTGTACATATTTTGCCATTGCCCCCTAAAAAATTATATTTTTATTGATTTTAGAGAGGAAGAGAGAGGGAAAGAAAGATGGAAACATCAATGAGAGAGAATCATTGATTGGCTGCCTCCTGCATGCCCCCTATTGAAGATTGATCCCACAATTCAGGAAAATGCCCTTGACCGGAATTGAACCCAGGACCCTTCAATCGGCAGGCCAATGTTCTATCCACTGAACCAAACCAGCTAGGGCTTGTTCTTTTTCTATTGATATTGTATATTACATTATTTATTTTGTGTTGAACCAATCTTGTGTTCATGGACTAAATTCCACTTGGATCCTTTTTATATGCTACTAGAGGCCTGATGTATGAATTTTTGCATGGGCTGTATGGTGGACTGAGCAAATGTGAACACCTTTCCCTCTATTAACACATAAAATTTTGGTAAAATTAGAGCAAAATTCCCTTTTAACTTTATAGCTGAATAATATCTAAAATCCCTTCTGTAGCCTGTAATAGGCTCCTGTTGCCTCCCGGATCTTGTCTCCTAACCACTTATTTTCCCATCTCCCAGCACACTGGCTGTCTTGCTTTCCCTCTGGTACACCAGGCATATGCCTGCCTTAGTGCCTTCGTACTTGCTGTTCTCCAGTTTGGAAATGTTCCTCCCCTAGACCATCCACAGGACTGATCCCTCACTTTTTTTTTTTTTTAGGTCTCTGATAAATTGTCATCTGCTAGCAAAGAGGCCTTATCTGGCAAACCCATATCAGAGAACTTTCCCGTTATGTTTCTGACCTTCTCTTCTCCTGGCCCCACTTGACTTGTTTCATAGAACACACACTCACTACCTGACACACTGTATTCTTATTTTGTGTCTGTTGCCTTTCCTCTCCTACCCTTCTCTCCCAGGAACCTTCCTTCCCCCATGTAAACCTTTTGAGATCAGAGATGCTGTATGCTTTGTTCACTGTTGTGTCTAGAATAGGGCCTGAATTATAGACGATTCTCAATAAAATTATTTGTTGATTGAATGGACTTGAAAGAAAAATCCTCAGGTACCAGAAATTTATACTAGTGGAACTTAAAGTCTGAATTTTTGGGGAACTTAGCTGGAACTGAGCCTTGGGGAGGTCATCAGATGCTATAGGCCTTCATTCCCCATAGGAGACTTGTGTGTGAGTTTCCTAGCTAAGAAGTTAACATGAAAATTAGTCTCTGAAACAAATGACAGTGGCAGAAATGCTTGTACAATGAAGCACACATCTCATTTTCTACTGAAGATAAGCTCTTACTAAAAGATTACAAAGCTCACAAGGAATGACCTACCAGGAGGGAGCCAGTAGGCCCAACAAAGAATTACTGTCCCCAGACTATAGTGGAAAGTCTGAAATGAATTATAAAACAAGGGCCCCAAATAATTAAAGCTAAGAGAGGGAATAGAAACCATAGTGAAAGAATAGGACACCCTGGGCCGGCCTGAATGGCTCAGTTGGTTGAAGCATTATTCCTTACACCAAAAGGTTGCATGTTTTATTTCTAGTCCGGGCACACACCCAGGTTGCAGGTTCAATCCCCGGTTGGGGTACATAGGGGAGGCAACCGATGGATGTTTCTCTCCATATTTTTCTCTCTTCCTTTCTCTCGTCAATAAGCATATCCTTGAGTGAGGAGAAAGAAAGAAAGAAAAAAGAAAGAAAGAAGAAAAGAAAAGAATAGGGCATCGTGAAGAAAGAACAGGGAAATCTGAAAAAGAACTAAGAATTTGTACATGTGACAATCATTGGAAATAAAGTCTTTTTATCATAGTTAAACAGGAAGTAAGACACAGCTGATGAAAGCTCATGAACTATAGGCTAGGCCTGAAAAGGTTTACTGTCATGCTGATGTTTTATCTGCAGTTTCCATTTATTTCATTACTGATCCTGGGGTAAGAGTTCTTTGGACTCATGAAGGAAAATTGCTCAGTCAAGTTGATGGCATCTCTGACCAAGCCTTGCCACGTTTACTGCGGTCAAAGTCTGCAATATCCTGTTCTTTCTCTTCTTAAGGGCCAGCCACCGGGACTTTCAGCTGAAAAACTTAAGAATAATTGAACCTTACGAGGTGATATATTCAGGAGGCCCAGGTATGAACACAGGTAATAATTTTGCCAATTATTAGATGGAACATCTCGAAAGGATTTTTAGTTACCCTTGCCTCAATCTCAAGGTGGGAGAAAAGAGAAGGTAAGGGGTTAACAATTGATCATGGCTGGGGTTGGGAGGATGTATATCTGGAACTTTAAAACCACTTTGTTTCTTGGCTTTCTGGGTAGTTGGTTACTGTTTCTAAATATTCGCTACTTTTTTTTTTTTTTTTTTTTTTTTTTTTTTAGGGTAGTAAGTTAGAGAATGAAAGTTATGGCATTTGCCATTTCTGCGGTAGTTGTGTTAAGTTACTAGTCTAATTTTTCTAATCTCTAGTGTAATCCTCTATTGGCTGCCTTAGAGATTAGCTTTCAATGTTCATCATATGATTATGAAATGAGAAAAGTTTGTAATATATGTATTATTGTGCTTTATAAATTGAATATGCATTCAGGAAAATCTTTTCGGGAAAAATTTCTGGAACTGTATCTTCTCCCCAGAATTGGTCAGTTGCCTTGTTGGGTTGCCAGAAACCTGAATTCTGAAAAGTGACGCATTTCTGTATTTTTAGCCCCCACAAGCCAGTGCTTTTCTATGGACTACCCAGGAGAACCACAAGGTTTCCTTTTAGCCAAGAGAAAAAATCAATCCTGAAGCGCACAAGAAACCATGACTAATCTCTTTGGAAGATTAGTGCTATAATTGTACTAATCCCTTTTCTTTAAAAATATAGATTATGCAACACATTTTGGGCCATCTTGGGAGGGGGGAGAGGGGAAAAGGGGAAGTAAAGAAAGGGGAAAAGTGATAGAACTATCCAATTTAGAGGTTGAAGAGAACTTCTCTTCTTATTATACATGAAGAAATAGAGGTTCAGTAGTCTTAGGTTGCAGATCCCAGCTGGAAACCGGAACCCGCTTGTTTTGATTCCATTGGTCTTAGAATGCTTTAAGAGAGCCTCTGTTACGATCCCTTATAATAGAACCCGGATTTTGGAATTAGATAGATCTGGGTTTTGGTTCCTAATGATCCAGTTGACTTGGGCAAGTATTTAACTCCTGTTTCTTTGTCTGAAAAAATGGGACTAGTGAAACCTCCTTTGGAGGATTGTTATGTGATTTAACCACTAATGCCTGGAAATCCCTTGGCTCTTGCTCAGACGCTGGAAGCCCAGCTTCACATCTGTGTATGTGGTAAGATGCTGAAATTGGAGAAAAGCACCCTCTTCTCTGGCTTTTTAATTTAATTTAATTTTTTATTTTTAGAGTATGTTTATTAAAGTTAGAGACAGTGAAACAAGCAAGGGCTTAGGGTAGAGGAAGCAACAGGAGAGAGCCTGGGCCAGCTCTCTGGCTCACTGGAGAGTCAGAGAAAAGGGGCCTTGGAGTCAGGTTCAGGGGGTTAGCCCAGGACGAGCTGCTGCTGCCCATTGCTCCCCTGGTTGCAAGTCTCGTGGGGACCCTTCGAGTTCAGGAGATGTGGGCCTATAAGGGAGGGAGAGGACGGAGGGAAAGGTTAGGGCGTTTTCCCCGGAGCGAGGGAGAGCATCCCCTTCTATCCTTATAACAAGTCTTGTAGAAATCCCAGCTTGTACTTCAGATCCAGATTCAAATCCTATTTCTTAAGCTCCTACAATGTACCATATGCTGTGCATGTGATTTTCACACATATCATGTTAAATACATCTAGCTGCCCAGGAGGTTAATGTGGTGTGCTTTTCATGTACTTCCAGGGAATCAAAAGTCTAGTTTGTGATAAAGGCTGAAGGTTTAGAAACTTATTTCTAAAAGCAGGTCCACATACGCAAGAGACTTTTAAATGAGTCATTCATTTTAAAAGCATGATTTAAAAATACCTGGCAGTGTATGGGCTAATGTTACATCATGGACTAGGATTTGTTGCTCTTGGCTTTCCACTTTCCTGCACACCCTGATTAGCTCTTGGCTGCTTCTGACATTTCTGAAAGTCATGGGATGTGGAATGAACAGATGCTCCCAATATTGCATCGGCTAAGATCCTAGCTTTCACGGAAGGTTCATTCCTGTTTATTATATTGAGTCTGAGAAGTCACAGATACACAGTTGTGATACCTACCCAGCCATCTTTGAGTGAGCGTATGGGTATGTTAATGGATTTAGAGGCAATGGAATCAGAGATGAAGATGATGTGGTCCTGCCTTAGGGAGAAGCAGTAGATACATCTGTGGCACCATTTATCACATTGCTGTCAGAGTTAGTTAATTGTGCACTCCCTCTAAAAATTGCAAGCACATAACATTTACTATGTGCCAGGCACTGTTGCTTTATAGGGAGTAACCCATTTAATCCTTATAAAAATTACCCTCTGAGGATCACCAGCCATGCCTTTCATCTTCTCCATCTTTAAAAAATGAATATTTTTATTGGCTTCAGAGAGAGGAAGGGGGAGGGAATGATAGAAACATCAATAATGAGAGAGCATCATTAATTGGCTGCCTCCCTGTATGTCCTCTATTGGGGATCAAGCCCAAAACCTGGACATGTGCTCCAACTGGGAGTCAAACTGAGGCCTCTTGGTTCATAGGTTGACACTCAACCATGAGCCACACCAGCAGGGCCTCATCTTCTCCATCTTGAGTGCCTTTTCAACTGCTGCCACCCCAATGGCTGGGTCTTATACCTGTACTAGCTTTGCTGCCTCCTCAGCTATTCTCATCCACTCAGTTATTTTCAAGACTTGTTGTCCATGTGGACACCTTGCTCATTGCATTTACATGAGTGATAGCTGCTTCCACGGCCACAGCACACACTGCCTCAGCACTGCAAGTTGCTGTTGCTGCTGCAGCCTAACTATCAGTTGCAATATTGGGAGTTTTTTCATTGGGTCTGATGTGAGTGCCCCACATTGGGCGCCAGTTTCAAGTGGAACCCCCCCCCCCCCCCCCCCACACACACACACACACACACGTCTGTGTGGTTCAGGGTTCAGGCTTTGGAGTAGGCAGCACACAAATGTAAGAGACTAGACAAGAAAATATTAACTTGGGAATTGGGGGCCAGGCGGAAGCCCAAAAGAGGACTCTGCTTTCTTCTGGCCTTGTGATCCCTTTTATTCAGGTTTTTCCAGTAATGGAGATTTACGTGAGACTAAAAGGTGGAAGTTGCTTCAGCTCCCTTTGTCTCAACTAAACAGTGACCAGAGCCTCAAGGTTGACCAGCCTTCCGGGTTCCTTGTCCACACCTCTCTGCTAGTGAAGGCAATAGGAAGCTTCCAAAGGTCTGGTCTAGGTGACAAAGTAGTGGCTGCATCTGATCAAGGACACCATGCAAATGTGAAGGACATGAAGGGTGAGGAGGAAAGAGCAGGGGAAGTATCAAGAGTGGTGATGGGGGCAGGTGGCGTTTTGGGGGGAAGTGGGAAAATGCCCCTGCAATAGGGTAAAGCTGATGATGCCGAAGGTTTTGAGGAGGCAGGAGATGGTGAGGAAGGTCAGAAAGTGGTGGTGAGAAGAGAGATTGTGGTCCCAGGAAGCAGAGGATGTCTTTGGCTGGCTCCATTTGCCTTGGATGGTTTACAGTTTGTAATTTAGGATTTTGTGCTTGCCACTAGTTCTGTTGACTTTGCTGATGAAGTTAGTGGCCGATAATGTTGATACATACCACAGTCAATGCTATAAACACCCAGTCAGTGCCATCAAAGTTCTTAAGTCAGAATGTGCCCACATAGAAGCCAGGTTCAATAAAGAAATTAATGGTCTTGAGAAAGAAAATACATTGGCCTTTATCCTATATTTGCGTTTTAAAATTCCAGATGCCCAGGCTGTGCTCCAGACTAATTAAGTCAGAAGTCCCCCAGGTAGTTCTAATATGCAGTCAAGGTTGAAATACTGGTCCAAAGGAAGTCTACATTTTTTTCTTGACTCTAAGAATTAAGTTACTCAGAAGTATGGTTTCGAAATGTGTTAAGTCTATTTTGAAGCTCCTGGAAGGTGTCATAATAACATTTTCAGATGCTGGCAAGCTGGTGAGGTCGCAGTGTGCTTCATTTTGAACTCAGTGGAGTTGTTGACCTATAAACTTAGGTCAGCCCTGGGACTTCTGTTCCCTTTTTCTCAGATAGGTGAAAGATTACAGGCTCAGGACATCAGATGCAAGGAAAGGATGCCCGTCTGAGAAGTACTCAGAAGCAGCTGTAATGCACGGAGCATGGACATGTTTGAATTGTGACTAGGACCTTTTTCAGCGGCTGATTCCTTGAGTACAACTGTCCTTCAGAGACTCTGGAGGTGGAGCCCGAGGAATGTGGCTGAAGCTGCCTGGCTGCAGGTTATGAATGGGGCACTAGTTCAGGGAGTCCCAAGATCAGTCTAGTATCGCATAGGGGATTCTGTTGCAAAAAATCATCTCGACTGATAATATGGAAGCCCAAGGTGCTGGTGGTGAAGGAGAAAGAGCAGATGAAAAGTTAAAGAACCAAAAAAAGGGCCCATACCTAACCGGGTACGAGCCCCAGTGAGTTAGGGCGACAGCCCTGGAGGATGAGCTCTGGTGTAGTTGTCTCCGTGTAACTCCGTTACTTGGAGCATTGTGCGCCAGCACATTTCTTGTTAAGTGAATCATTTTCTGTTAAAAAATAAAAAACACCAACAACACCAAGTCCTGGCAAGGATGTGGAGCAACAGGAATTTTTGCTTATTAATGGTGGGAATATAAAATGGCACAGCCAGGTTGGAAGACAATTTGATAGTTTCTTATAAAACTAAATATACTATATTTAAAAAAAAATCCTCACCCAAGGATGTTTTCCCATCGACTTTTAGAGAATGGAAGAGAGAGGGAAAAACAAAGAAAAACATCGATGTGAGAGAAACACATCGATTGGTTGCCTCCTGCACGTGCCCTGATCAGGCCTGGGCCGGGGAAGAACCTATAACTGAGGTACATGCCTTTGTCTGATATCGAACCCGGGACCTTTCCGTCTGCAGGCCAACACTCTGTCCAATGAGCCAAACCGGCTAGGGCTAAATATACTCTTTACAGCGATCATGCTCCTTGCTGTTTTCCCAGAGGAGTTGAAAACTATGTTCACACAAAAACCTGCATGTGGATGTTTATGGCAGCTTTGTTCATAATGGCGGGAACTATGTAATTTCTAATTGTTTGATTGTGTACTGTTGGATGGGAGGTAATTTATTTAACCAGTCATGTATTTCCCCCTCCATATTTTTACTACTGTAAACAAAGATAAGCACCTACTCCTCTGTGTACTTGTTTAATGATCTCCTTAGCATAAAATCCTAGACTTGAAAGAGGTAACTAATCAATTTGGAAATCAGTCTTAGAAGCTCAAGTTCCCCCCCCCCCCCACAAGTGGCTGTAAACTGGCTGTACCAGTTTACAGTTCTAGGTATTTAAGAACTGTAAATTGGAGAGTTTTGGGGCAGCTTTGGTTTTGGTCGAATGGCGGGGTGGTCATTTTGAAGCTGCCTCTGGGAATGGGGCAGAACAAAGGGGGTGCTTCTCTGGGGCTCCATTGGAGTAGTCATCGAGTTGCATGGGGCTGGCTGGTTTTGAAATAAACTCTCCTGTTGTTGCAGACGGCAGAATGCCTCCCAAAGTAACTTCTGAGCTGCTTCGGCAGCTGAGACAAGCCATGAGGAACTTGGAGTATGTGACAGAACCCATCCAGGCCTACATTATCCCGTCGGGGGATGCCCACCAGGTACTGAGTGGAGATGGGTTGGTGGTGATGGAACTCATCAGTCTCTTCTCTCATTTCATCCTTTTCCCCAACGTGTTATCGAATTCTAGTTGTCAATCACAACTAAGCATGTCCTCCAGGGCCTGGCATAGGGACCTGTGTTCAGTGTTTTCCTGAATGCCTGTTGATTTGGTTCTGGCTTCCTTGTTCCCAGTGAATATAGGCAGCTTTTAATAAATGATGGAAGAATTAATGGACAAATGAGGGGTAGAAGTCTGGACCTTTCTGTTGCTGACACACTTTACCCACCTCCTCTGTCGCACTCTGTCCCTAGCAGAATTGTCTGTGCTTCCTCCTCTCTCCACATAGTCTGTTCCATCCTCTGACAGCCAGAAGATCATCTGTAAAGTCATTATTGATCTTTAACCAGTAGGTTTAAGAGTATCACTCCCTCCTTCCCCCAACCTCCATCTTAATGAAAGCAACTCAGGAAGTGCCCTTTACCTCTTAGAACACTAGTTATTTAAATATAGGAGGGCTCTGGTTGAAAATGTTGTCTTGTACACTAAAAGATTGCAGGTTTATTCCCAGGCAGGGCACATACCTAGGTTGTGGGTTTAATCCACTGTTGGGGTATGTACGGGAGGTGACTGATCAATATTTCTCTCACATTGATGTTTCTCTCTCTCTCTCTCTCTCTCTCTCTCTCTCTCTCTCTCTCTCTCTCCCCCCCCCCCTTTCTCTCTCTCTCTCTCATTCTCTCTCTCTCTCAAAATAAAATAAAATAAATGACCTTGGGTGAATAAAAATAATAAATATGGGAGAGTAGGATTTGGATGGGTGGAGATCTCATGTTATGGGGCTGAAAGGTAGAAGGAAGAAAGGATTCTAGGATCTGCTGCTTTCAGTCTTCGAGTCAGCAAATATTTGCATTTCTTTTTGTGGTCATGGTACTATAGGGTTACAAAAATGAATTTAAGATTGAATTCCTGCCCTCACTGGGCTTTTGTTTTATTAGAAAGACAAAATGTGGACTGAATTCATAGCTGAGTGGGAATACTAAGCTGACAGGATCAAGGAAGGCTTCATGGAGAAAGGACATTTAACTGGAATGTGAACAGGTAGAATTTTAATGCTTGGGGATAGAGGTATAAGAAGTACCATGAGCAAATCCATGGACGTAGGAAAACATGAGTAATGATAACCTTGAAAAAGAAGGAAAAATAGGGGCTCAGTGAAGGCCACTCATGAGCCACCCATGACTGGTCATGGGGATCCTTGACCAACAGAGTGAGGAGTTTAGGTTTTGTTAGACAGTAGGGACCCTCTGAAGGTCTTTGAATAAAGGAGTGAATGGTCTGTGAGAGGGAGCAGTGTTTAGTGTAGACTGGAGAAGGGAAACACTGGGAGCTGAGAAGCCTGTTAGGAGGCTCTTGCAGGATCCCAGAGGTGGGGTGCAGAGCGCTTGGACATGGTGCTGGCTTTAGGAGCAGAGAAAAGGGGGAAAGGGTTCAGAGGAGGAGAAGTAGGACAGAGATTGGACCTTCAGGCAAACGGCAGAGGGCATTGGGAAGTTTGGAACCCAAGTGTTCCTTGTGCCACCCACAGAAAGAAATGAGAAGCCGTCAGTTCCTTGTTTCGGTTTCTGTGGAGAGGCAGGGTGTGGTTGGGCGACTGTTAAGTGGGATTCTGGGTCCCTGCCAGGACTGGGAGGACAAAGAGGAAGGGGTGACTTTGTGTGCGACCTGCCACCACAGCCACCTCAGAAAGAGTGAGGCCACTGCTCTTTGTGGTTCTTATTCCTAATTGTTTCATTTCAGGCTAGGTTCAGGGTTGCTGGGATTTCTCCTTTGGGTGGGGAAGGGAGAGAGTTGGAGAATGAAGGGGAATCTTGAATTCTGTCTTTTTTGAATCTTCCAAACACAAACACAGACACCCACACACTGTTCTGTTAGAGAGAAAATGCACCCCAAATGCATAGTTACGCAAGGACTTGGCACTCCAGGGGTCTGCTTCTCTGCAGCTCTAAGGGTTTTTTCTATGTAAACTCTGAACAGGGTGTGGTATTAATGAGCTTGGACCCAGCGGGACTTTTACAGTGAAGGGTGGTTCATTCTCTCTGCTTATCTGAAGGCTTTCATGGACCATCTAAGTCAGATGTTGAGATTGGTGGGCACCACTGGCCCCAAACCAGGAGGAGCATTGGTAGCGGCCGGCGTTGTGCCAGCGTGCTTTGAGAAACCCACATTCTTCACCCTCCCCATCCTCTTGCGATGGGCTTAGTCAAAGGGTCACGTTCTGTCCGGGGTGACTCTGCCAACTGAGTTTTTGGCTGTGTTTATGGTTCCTCCTTCTGGAAGACATGAATCAGATTTTCCTAAACTCCTTGGATCCTATTCCCATTCCTCCTGGAGTCAGCTTCCTGTTTTGTTTTGTATTTCTTAAACAGACTCTGCCCTGGGGTGGGAGGTGGTGGTTTTTATCCCAGAGTGATTTTATCTACTATTAATTAGAGTAATGCTAGCTGTGGTGATACATTGAAGTTTCAGTGGAGCTTTATTTCTTGCCCACGTAGCAGTCCTGAGTGGGTGTTCCCTGTTGGTGAGTGACTTTCTTCCACTGGGAAGAATGATTTAGGAATCTAAGTTCTTTCCATCCTGTGACATCAACATCCTACCTGGAGAAAGAGGTATGAAAATGAAGTGTATTTTAGTGTGGTAAAGACACACCCAAGTTTCCGGCCCTGACCCAGACATCACTTCCACTCACATTTCATTGGTGAGAACTAATCATGTGACACCCCCACCTAATTGCAAGGGGGCCTGGGAGGTGAAGTCCAGGATGGGAAGCCCCCTTTCAGCAGGTGTACACTAAGGAAAGGGCATGAAGCTGTTTTTCCCACATATCTTGACTTGGTTTCATTTAAGAAAGTAGATGACGCCAAAGACAGGAAGTTGCCTTAGTATTTGGGGACAGGTAGCCCTTGTCACCATGCACAATCTAACCTGGATTGGTGGGTCAGCAGTTGGAAAAGCTCACTCTGAGTGTGTGAAGAGTGGCTGTAGGCCACGCATGTCAAACTCGCAGCCGGTGGGCCGCAGAAATGAGGCGTGTGGCCATGAGTTTGACATGCTTGCTGTAGGCAGTGGTCCAGGTAGAGGTAATGGAAGCCTGGACTGAGTACTGACATTGGAGATGCAGAGAAGTAGATGGCTTGGAGGAGAAGCCAACAGCTGTGCTGCTGTGCCTTGCTCCTTGCATGCTACGACCTTTTGCTGCTCTCAGGGAAGAGTGTTCCTGGGCTTTGCCAGCACGTGGCTGGGGGAAGAGTAGGAGGCCTGGGCCTAGTGCTTGTCTGGCCTCTGTTGAGCCTGGAGGTGACAGCTTTGGTAGGTGACGTCTTTCTGGCGGGTTGACCACTTAGGTCATGTCTAGACATTCTTGCCCCCAGACCTCATCTTGATCCCAAACCAAATATGTCCACCTGCTGTTAATACAGGGTGTCCCCCCAAAATGTATACACACTTTAATAGCTGATAGCTCAATTTTGAAAATCAAGTGTATTTTAGTAAACACTGCTTTTATAATTATTCACAGTTGTGTGTATACATTTTTTAGGGAACACCCTATATATTACCTTCTTTTGGAGACACCTTCCTCTTGCCTTTGCTGATGAGTACCTCTAGGTAAACCCTCATGGGTGCCCTGTCCCTCCTCTGAGGGTAACCCAGATAGGGGAAGATCATCCTCTAGAAATGTGTCCCTGCAAGGAGGAGTCCAGCTGGGCCCAGATCAGCAGTCCCTTCTCTGCCAGACCTTCGTCAGCATCCTCACTGTGTGTCACTGGTGGGAGAGCCCCAAGCCAGTGTCCTGACTGTGTGTCACTGGTGGGAGAGCCCCAATCCAGCAGAACCTCATTGTCATCGGTAGTGTCCCCACTGTGTCTTACCCAGTACCCAGTTCTTTTTAGTATAAGAATTATTTTTGTTAACTTAGTTATCTTAGATGCTTTTCACCATTCAGGAAGCAGACATGAGTACTACCCCTTCCATTGCAAATGCGCAGCACTCTTAGGTTTCTGGAGGGATGTTTTAAACATTAACTTACTGTTCCTCACAGCAGTCCTAGGAGAAGGGTGTGACCTCTCTCCACCCATTTTTTGCCTATTTTTTTTTTTAAGTTTTGCACCAATGATTGCTGGGTTAAACAAATGAGGGTTCTCCAGTTCATACTGTTGATCACCATTTCTTCCTGTGTCTTTAGTGCTCTCTATGAAATGTTCCTTTGTGTTTTCGGGATAAAATGTGCCTGCTGTTGCATTCAGCAATGTGAAATGACCTTCTTGGAAGGAGGAACTAATGCCAAGGAAGGTGATGAGACTCCATGCAGACCACTTAGCTGGGCTGATAGAGGGCAGGTGTGGCTCAGAGCCCCTTCGTCCTGACATCCGATTCTCTCTGCTGGCTCTTCTAGCATCTCCCTGGGGGGTGGGCTTGTGGCTGGCCTGAGGATGTGCTGTGGCTGCCTTGGTGAAAGGGAAGCTCTCACAGCAGGAGTGGAACGTGAGCACTTTCCCCCCTAACATCATGGGCACCCCCTAAAATGCCTCGGGGGCCCCGTTTTCCACCCAAAGCATTCTTCACCTTGCCAGGTTCTTTAGTTCAGGAGAAACTGCTAACAGGAGGAGGAGCCACAGCTCTGGTCTGAAGCGGATCCAGGCCTTGCTGTTGACCTGGCAGTGGGCAAGTGCCTTAAAGATTCTGTCTTTGAGCTTCTGTTTTCTTGTTTGCTGTTGGTCTTATCCTGGAGAGTCCTTATGAAGATGAGATGATGTGTCCTATAGGGGCAGCAGAAGGCTTCAGAGACCAGGCTCTGGAACTGACAGCCCAGGTTCAAATCCTGCCTCTGCCACTTACTAGATATGTTAGGCAATTGCCTTAACTCCCTGTGCCCATTGACTACAGCAGAAGCTGCACACCGTGGCCTTGTACCCTCTGCCCAGGACTGAGAGCCTCTGACTTTCTTCAGTCCCTACCCGCTTCCCTTCAGAGGCAAGGGATTGTCCCCTCGGGGAGGACCTGGGTTTGGACATGATGTTTTATTTGCTGATGCCTCCCAGTTGGAGGAAGCGTTTCCCCTCTCTCCCTAACAGGAAGGGACTGGGTCTGTCTGCGTGGGAGCGATTGGTGACGCTACCTAGGAAAAGGGACACACACAGGAAGTGCAGAAACAAGCTCATACCCAGAGAGGCTTAAGTTAGAGAATTGTTGGCACTGGAGACAGAAATCCAGCCTTACTTTTCAGAAAAATACCAGATGCCTAAATGTCAGTGGCGGGAAGAGGGAAGGCTCTCAGTTTATTTTTTGAGTAAGATCTTGGTGAGGAAAGAGCAGTTTTGATCTGTTTCTCTTGATTCGCTTTGTTCTCCAGATGAGGAGCGAGAGACAAATGGGAAAAGCTTGTTGAGCTCTTCATTAATTAGGGTCTGCATTGTGCACTCATTTTTTTTTTTTTTTTAAAATGTTCGGCCTGCCTTCTAAGCTGGCCTGTCTGTCCCTTGAAGCCAGGTGCCAAGGCCTCGCCAGCCTGTGTAGTCTCTGTGGGCCTCGCACAGGGCTGAGCCCAGCGGCGCCAGTGTGTGACCGGCTGGGGTCCAATTCCTGGTCCCTTTTGTTTTTCAGAGTGAGTACATTGCTCCGTGCGACTGTCGGCGGGCCTTCGTCTCTGGATTTGATGGCTCTGCGGGTGAGTCGCTAAACTCTCTCTCTGTTCTTTCTATACTTTTGTTCGCCTCCCAAAAATAACTGGAACGAGTCGCAGCCTGTGATAAAAGCACCAAAAAGAAAATGCAAACCAGACGTTCCCCTTCGAGCCCCTGCAGAAACGTGCGAGTTCCCAGCATCCTCCAGCTCCCCGCGGTCCCCTGGAGTGACCCTTTCCTCCGTGCCTTGGCTTTTAGAGTTTTAGTTTTTTATTTAAAAAATGTTTTGGAACTTTTTTTTGAATATAACAGAAATATGGGAAATTAAAATTGAATATACCTGTGCAACTGGCACTGCAAATAATTTGTGGGACCCTGACACCTCCCAGTACCTCCCCCCTACATTCTCCCGCCTTTGCTTACTGATCCTGCTTAGTTCTCCAGATGATTGGCTTTTGATTTCTTTCTTTTTACTTCCGGCATAAATGGCAAAGGTTAATGCTGAGCCTCATTAGCACCCTGCCCTCACTTTCCCAAAGCTGCTGTGCCCTTGAGTTTTAGGGTGTTCCCATGTCAGACTTAAGCTAGCTAGAGTTGGCGAGAGCCCCTCTCTCCTCGGAGTTGGCCTATTGCTTCCTTTGATGTAAGTGTTTGTGTAGGTTGGCACTTAGGATTGGCTGACACCTCTGCAGAAAGCCCTGAGCTCTGCCAGGTCTGTGGGAACTGAAGGCAGGTGGAGGTGGGAGGCGCACACTCCCACGGAGCCATCACAAACACTCCCGGGGACCTGGGGGGATCTCCCACTCCTTCAGGATCTGGAGGAGTGGATCACTGAGACCACTGAGCAGGAAACGTTTCTCTGTCTCGTGATTATGAGGCCATTTTGGCTTTAGATCCCAGTCCTCTGTTCTGGCCTTGACTCATGCTGAGCAGGTACCAAGGTCCAGGTGGCCTGGGCTGCCTCAGGGCTGTTTCCTTCAGAGCCTGGCCCACAACTGGTTCTGAGGGCTTTGCCTTCTCTTGCCTGGAGCTGCCCTGGAGTGAAAGACCACCTGCCCACTGGGAGGTGGGGGTGGCCAGGCTGCATAGCAGCTGGTGCTCATGCTGTGCGGGCCTGTCTGTCCTCATTCTGTGCAGCTTCGGGGCAGTTGTCAGAAACCTTTCTCGTGTCCTGTTCCCTTGCTCCAGGCACAGCCATCATCACAGAAGACCATGCAGCCATGTGGACGGACGGGCGCTACTTTCTCCAGGCTGCCAAGCAGATGGACAGCAACTGGACGCTTATGAGGATGGGTGCGTAGACGTGTGGCCATCCTAACCTTCGATGGCCAGGTCTCCTGGATCTTAACTCTTTTATGGGGTCATGGACCCTTTTTAGTATCTAGTGTTTGTTGGTCTATTTGGGCTGCCATACAGAATGCCATGGACTAGGTGGCCTTGACAACAGAACTTTATTCTCAGTCTGAGGCTGGAAGTCGGAGATCAGGGGGGCAGCGTGGTCAGAGTCTAGTGAGAGCACTCTTTCTGGTTTGCAGACTTCTCCTGTGTCCTTACATGGCTAGATCCCTGTCTCCTCTCCCTTCTCAAAGGCCACCACTCCTGTTGGATTAGGGCTCCACCCCTGTGACTTCATTTAACCTCCTAAAACCCCTGCCTCTACATACAGTCACATTGGGCGTTGGAGCTTCAACATGGGAATTTTGAGGGGACACAGTCCAGTGCATGGCTCAAGGGAAACCAAGAAAATAGCATCCTTGTGTGTACATAACTCTGTGTGCACAGTCTTGGAAGGTTCCGGTTCAGGTTACTCATTTTAGTGAGCTGAAACTGAGGGCCAGAAAGGGCAGCTGATTTGCTGCAGATCCCATGCCTTGCCATGTTCTCGACGACGCACCGTGACCACTGCTCTTTGCTGCCTCGTGATTTGGAGTCAGATTAAGGTCAGGCGCCATTAGCATCAGAGGCCAGGAAGCTCTCCCGCTGAGGATCCTGGACTTGCCTCTGGCAGCTCAGTTTGGAGAAGGGCACAGGGCAGGAGCATGGGCCTGGAACTTTCATGGTCAAGTTACTCCACTTTTAGGGCTTCAGTTTCCTCATCTGTAAAATGGAGTAATAATAGTAAGTACCGCATAAAATGGTGAAAATTAAAGAAATGATATATGGAAAGCATCGAGTTCAGTGTTTGTTGACTAGTGTGTGTGTGTGTGTGTGTGTGTGTGTGTGTAAAAACTCTGGTCTCTGATTTTTCATTGAATTTTCCTTGTCATTAAAATAGTCTCCAGGAACATGGTTCTAGAGCCTGCACATAGGTCTCTTTCTCTTTAATTTGGAACTTGGAGAGTAGAAGATAAGGAGGGAAAGGGGGCTGCCAGAAAGAGAAGAGGAGGCAAATACCCGACACTTCTTGTTTGATATCGGAAGTAAAGAGGAAAGCAAACTCCCAGTTCAGGAAACAGAGGCTATTGGCACTGAGTTGAGTTGAGGTGACACAAAGATCCAAGCAGCTCCCCTACTGAGGTGGGATGGGGAGTGGGGGGCAGGAGGGTGGGGGAGGGGTATTCTTGTGGGGGGCCCACACTCTCCATATAGATATTGTGTTGTTTATCTTAGGGCGGCCTGAGGTACATTTTTGTCTGACAATGAATTTATAGATTTATTGTAATTATCTCTCTCACTCTCTCAGTCTGTCTCTCTCTCTGACACACACATGCACATACACACAGCATTTGGGGCTGTGGGACTGTTATAAATGGACAGGCCACTAGGCCTATAAGCGGTTAATTGCATACCTCTGTTAATGGCTCACATGCCCTTAATATGTGTGTATATCTATGTGCTAGTGTTTATCTGCATTTCAAATTTGAACAAAGATTAATTTCTTTATTTTGTGGAAAAAAATAAATGCAAATGGAATCTCTCATATTTCCTGCCTGCACCCAGTGGATCGCTTGGCATAACCCTGAGGGTGTGTGTGGGCATCTCTCCTTGGGCCCAGAACTCCAGCTGGGAGTTTTGGAAGCACTCTGGGGGTCAGGTGTCTGAGGAGCGATACTGTCTGCCCGCTCCTTAAAGTGGGGTGTGGTGGCCCCGAGGGATGAGGCCTTGTTCCCTCCAAGCCCCCCTCTAGTTTCTTCTCTGAGACTTCTCGCCCCAAGCCCCCTTCCCTCAGGCGGCTCTCCTGTGTGGGAAGATTCTGGTGGGTTTGGTTGCTGAGCGATTCATCCTTTGGCTTTACCAAGCATCTGTCTGCTAGGGAAGGACATGACTTCGTCCTGTGAACGTTATGCTAAGGGTATTAAAGAAACATAGTTCAAAAGTGGCTTGTTCAGCGGTTTGGAAAAAAAAAAAAGAAAACATCAAATAGCAAAAGAACAACCCAGTTCCAGCTTTTAGGAAGTTTTGTAGAACTTATTCATGAGCTCATTTCCTTTTAAACCTTTGAACTTCCCTCCTGTGGTTATGAGGTTATCAGTGCCCAGTAGAGAAACTAGTAAAGATAAGTACTGGTGTAGAATATGTGAATTTTCACTCTAAATATGCAGGCATTTTACCAGGTTATTCATTGGTTAGCCAAAGTCTGACTGAAAATGTATATATCCCAAACATAAATGGCCTGGATGAAAGAAAAACTGGAATATCCTGAAGCTTCCTTGGTGCCCTCTGGGTAGTCGCTTAGACACAGCAAGGCTGCTTTCTCTGGAGTTGGGAAAACCGGGCGCCTGGTTAAAGATGGCGGTGGCAGACTTGTGTGTCCCCTTAAGGTCTCAGGAAGGACTTTTTTTTTTTTTTGCTGCTAAGACTCATGCTTAGCCCTCTAGTCAGGCCTGGTTGTGGGACTGGCTCTGTTCTCCTCAATGCGGCCTTCCAGATGACGGGAGGGCCCTGGGGCGAGTGTTCCCCTTACCCGGTGTGGGGTGTATGGGGAGCTCCCAGCCCCCAGCCTTCACCCTATGACTGCCCACATTCTCACCCAGTGACCAGCCTTCGACGAAGAGACTGAGGGCTGGTGAGGTGATAGTTACTATGACACAGAGTACCTATGACAGTGTTTCCAGGATGCCATTTTTACCAGGGTTTTATGAGAATCCTGCTGCTTCCCTTCTTCTCTCTCACCGTTACCTGACACCTCCCTTACAGACCGCCTTACACTTCTCACAGCCTTTTCGCATCAGGGAGGGTCAGATTCTGCAGTCCTGCCATAAGAGGCGCTCAGTGACACCCTGCGCTCATGCTCTGTTGGAGAACCGCATCCTTCTGGGTGGGACCTGACTGGGCCCCTGGGACTTGCTTCTCATCAGTTCTTCCCTCTGTAGGTCTGAAGGACACACCGACTCAGGAAGACTGGCTGGTGAGTGTGCTTCCGGAAGGATCCAGGGTTGGTGTGGACCCCCTGATCATTCCTACAGGTGAGTGCTCGGGGGGCCTTCCACTCGGGGGAGGAAGTGGGTGCTTGGTGCCTCCCTCCCCCTCCCCCCCACCTTCTTCCTCCTTGCTTGCTCGTGGGCTGTGGAATATTTGTGGGCTCAGCACGATTCGATATCACAATCAAGATCACGGTGAGGAGATGAATTCTGGCATCGAGGCCAGGGAAGGCCATTGGTGGTGAAGACCTCCTTTTACAGTTCTCATCCCGCACACCCAGCGCAGGGCCCCGGAAGGATCATCTTTCAGAGGGGGCTAGACTCTCCTGTTCTGGGCATCCTGCTCATGGCTGGGCCGGTGTGCTTCTCCTCAGATTACTGGAAGAAGATGGCCAAGGTCCTGCGAAGCGCCGGCCACCACCTCATTCCTGTCAAGGAGAACCTGGTGGATAAGATCTGGACAGACCGGCCTGAGCGCCCGTGCAAGCCCCTCCTCACTCTGGGCCTGGATTACACAGGTCAGAACTGCAGCTGCGCCCAGCAGGCTTCCCGCCATCGCCCCCTCCTCCTGTCCCCAGGTCTCCATCCGGTCCTCGAATGAGTCAAAGTCAAGGCTGAGCTGATGGGAGGTTTTTGCCCCACCCTGGTCCAGTGGGGCATTTGATGAAAGCAGAAGCTTTACTTATTTCTACTCACCACCTACTCACCATTTACTTTGTCAGAGTTTATTCTTGCAAAGCGCTCGGGGCAGACTTTGGGTGCCGCTAAGATGTTTTCTTATTTAAAAAAATATATATATATTTTATTGATTTTTTTACAGAGAGGAAGGGAGAGGGATAGAGTTAGAAACATTGATGAGAGAGAAACATCGATCAGGTGCCTCCTGCACGCTCCCCGCCAGAATCCAACCTGGGACCTTTCAGTCTTCAGGCTGACGCTCTATCCACTGAGCCAAACCAGCTCCGGCTTGTTTTGTTTTTACCACTTAGTTGATCACTGTCCCTGAAGCTGTCTTATCCCGGTTTCTAGGTGCCCCTTCCTTTTCTTCTGCTGGCATTCTCCTGCTCTCTGTACCTTCTGCTTCCCAGGTTTTGGGGTGTGGGTAGGTTCTGTAGCGGTGGGTGAGGAGAAGGTTCTGTGAGAGTTTGTAGGGACGAAAGTGTGGGTTTATGGGACAGTGAGGGGCACAGAGGGGAAGGCCTGGGAGGTGGGGCTGCGGGGAGAGAGCCTTGCTGCAGACACTGAGAGGAGAGGTGGGTGGGGGATGTCTGGAATGCAGGCAGATTGCCCAGAGGGGTCCTGGGAAGAAAGCATTACAGCCCGGACTCTCAGCCAAGTTTTAAATCGCATTCCTGTGCTGAGCTTCAAAGCGGGGTTTGGCTGTGGGGGCAGCCCCCGCTCTCTCTCCTTGTGATGTCCTCGCTGAGAGTATAGCTGATTTGGGGGGGGAGGGAGGCAGGGGGAGGGCAGAGGGGGGATGGGTCCATTAAGTGGCCCAGGTCAGCTACACATTTTCCATCAGCGTGTTTTGAATTTTTTTTTTTTTTTTTTTTTTTTTTTTTTTTTTTTTTTTTTTTTTTTTTTTTAACACTGAAGCAGAGGTTCTGGCCTATTGCTTGCAGGAGAGGGGAGAACAAATGTTGCTGCTAAGACTTCTGTTCAGCAAACATTGAGTGCAGGGTACCATGCGGGGTGCTGGGTGAATGGGACAGAGGCCTATCCTGTGCACAGGTGGCCGTCACCAGAGTTACAAGTGCTGCTTGATGGTGGGTGATGGTGGGGTGGGTGTGATTTAATCCTGGGGAGCAGCAGGGAGCCTTTATCCTTCAGGGCAGTGTGATTGGAGTGATGGTCACACAGGCTGCAGAGAACCCCATGGCTAGCACTGACAGATGAGCCTTGCTGTTCCAGGAATGTAAGCGGTGGACGGTACTCCCCTGAGTGGAGACTTGATGAGTTCTCTCTGCAGGGGAGTGTGTTTTCAGTGCTCCCAGGGCTTCCTCTGTTGCACTGATTCTTATACAATAGTGCAACTAATTGCTAGTTTAATGCTTGTCTTCCCTTCTAGACTTGTAAGCCCCATGAGGGCATGGACCGGGTATAGCTCTGGGACTGGGGGTGTAGCTCAGAGCTGGAACAACAGGGCCATCACGGGCCCGGTAGATATCTATGCTTGGGAAGTTTGATGCTTCATAGACATTTGCTGGATCAACACATGAATTCGTTTTGCTGGTGAGGTCATCATGGTTCTCGCCCGTCAAATGGCCGGGACAGTCACACCTCTCGGGTAGGGCTTGATTGCAGGTGTCCGCCTGCTCACACAACCTGCTCCCTAGGATGTGGCTTCGGCTAAGAATGTTTGGGACGCAGGTCCCCAGGACCAGGGCTGGAGTTGCAAGCCCATGTGTTTTTTGCAGGCATCTCCTGGAAGGACAAGGTTGCGGACCTTCGGTTGAAAATGGCCGAGAGGAACGTGATGTGGTTTGTGGTCACCGCCCTGGATGAGATTGCGTGTGAGTGCCATGTGGACATGTTGCCTCATCTCTCCTTCGACTCTCTGGGAATCTGTGTTCTCAGGCCACTCAGCTCCCCGATTGGCCAGGGAATACCAAGGAGACTGTGTCACCAAATGGTTCTTCTACATATGCCAAGTGGGATGGAGAAGGAGTTGCCGGGAGTGGGGGAGGGCGGGCAGCCTGGCCCTGAGCAGTGTTTCACCAAGGCTGGTGCTGAATCTGCAGAGGCATCCATCTCTGGCCAGTTTCCTGGGACTGGGACACCTGCGAGGGAGGACCTTTGCTCCCCATGTTGTGTACCTGCCAACATTCATGTGTCTATAGGGGGACAAGGGCTGTCTTAGGAGACATTTTACTTTATCTGCTTACCCTAAGTTCTTTACAGTGAGAATATTCTAGAAATATCTCTACCTCAGAAAACGTAGGAACCCAAAAAGTTCTTCGTGAAGCCTTTTGATAGAGTAGCAGTTTCTCAAGTTTTAAACCTTGAACGACCCGCATGTAATTATTCAGTATCTTTGTTATCTCTTTGAACTGAAGGAATCTGTTCTGCCTGCTGTGTTCTGACTAGATTTGACCCAAGACAGCTGAGAAGCACCACCTGCACTTTTTATTTTCTCACGAGTGAGAGACCTAATAGTGTCCCATCTCGCCAGTCCCCAGCCCCAAACTTTGCCAATGGTATCAGCGTTTACATCCCTAATTAACTTAATAACCTCAGCACCAGAGAAGGTAACAGATAAAGCCAATTTCTTCCCTTTGTTACTCAAAAACCACACATTCCCAGTATGGAAAATGCAGAGGAAGTAGAAAGAAGAAGGAAAAAAAATCACCAACAATCCTGTTTCTCAGAGATAATCACTTTGAACATTCTGTGCATATATATATATAATTTTGTAGCTTGATTTTTTTTAATGTATCAGTATACTTACAGCATGTAAAAGCATTATTTCAAATGATTATTAGATATCTTAGCGTATGGTTATACCACCATTTACTTAACGTTCCCTTCAGGACGACCTTTGGTTATTTCCGATATCCCCACGATGTTAGTATGGTGCTGCCATCAAAATCTTGGTGCATCAAAATTTGGGTCTTAGTTTCCAATCATTTCCTTATTCTTTCGGGTAGGTTTGTAGTGGTGGTATCACAGACTAGAGAATACGTGCGTGGTGGGGCTTGGACCTCTCTTGCCTGCCGGAAAGGTTGTAAAGGGGCACGTGAGTAGGCAGGCCCCTCGTTGCCACAGCTTTGCCAGCCCAGGCACTACCTTTTTTTTTTCTCCCTCAAAGTACTAATTTAGTCTGATAGATAAGAACTTGCCTCGTTGCTTTACTTTGAGAAGCCGTTCTTTTAAAATAGAGGCAGTACATTTTGCACCAGGTCTTGTAGCACTCTGGCCCCCAGGGGAGAGAGAGAAAGGAGGAGGGGGGGAGGAGAGAGAGAGAGAGAGAGAGAGAGAGAGAGAGAGAGAGAGAGAGAGAGAGAGAGAGAGAGAGAATATGAGGCAACTGGAAGCCCAGGGACCAGAGCTGTGCTCTCTGCCTGTCCTTGTAGTTTCTCAGACAGCAGTGACCTCACCAAACCCCCTGACGCTGGCTGCAGGCCGGTCTCTACCAGGGCTGTAGGGCTAACCCCTGGGTGGGCCGCAGGCTCCGGTTTCATCTGGGCCCCTCTGACTCATGCTTTTGTTCCTCTGCCGGGAAGCTCCGCCTCCGCGGGGTTCCGTGACCCTGTCCCGAGGGCCTCATCTGGCCGCCCTCCTGGGTGGGTCTCAGTGTTTCACCCTCCTTGTTTGCCTCGGCCGGGAGACAGTGCTTGGCTCCTTCCCCGTGAGTTGGGAGTGCCAGAGGTTTTCTGCGGTCAGGCCTGGCAGGTCACCACCAGGCGGGCCATTGCAACTCTTTGTTTGAAGGGCATTTCTTGTGTTTTCTGACTAATAACTCCTCCATTCCCTCCTTGGGCCAGCGAGGAGGCAGCTTAAGAAACAGCTCTGGCGCCCTCGTTTGGCGGACACGAGCAACTGCAGCCCAGAAGTGGAAGCAGGAAGTGAGGTGCCCCCCTTTCTGAGAGATGCCTCTGACTGAGCCCTTCCACTTGGAGCCAAAGCTCTCTCCTCCCCTGCGAGGCACCGCTTCAAATCTCCCCGCAGGCAGGTGTCAGGGACTTATTCTTTGTGTGTGTGTTTTAGGGCTGTTCAATCTCCGAGGATCAGACGTGGAGCACAATCCGGTATTTTTCTCCTACGCAATCATAGGACTAGAGACCATCAAGTGAGTCTGCCCCACAGCACCCGGGAGCCTCTGTCCCCTTTCTGATTGGGCTCCCCAGTCTCTGCCTCACATTCTGCTCTTCCCCTTCCTGCCCCCATTTCCTCTTGCCTTCGTTAACAGCAGGTATTTATTTATATCCTGCCTCTGTCCCAGATGATTTGAAATCTAGGAAAGTCTCCATAGTATTATGGGATATAATAAAAGCATAATATGCTAATTAGACGGGGCAGCCGAACGACCTTCTGGATGTCCTTCCAGACGAAGCTGGGGCTGTGAGGACTGCAGCTGCACAAATTTCGTGTATCGGGCCTCTAGTTATGGGATAAAACAATAAGTAGGCAAGGACATCCAAACAAAACCAGTGAGTTTAGTTCCCAAAATTCCTGCTGCAAAGTCTTGTTCAGGCCGCTCTGTTCACAATCCTGGGTTCGCAGTGCAAATAAACCCAATCACTTTGGAGGTCAGAATGATGCTGGAAGACCCCTTGAGTCACACCTCCTCAGATCATAGTTGACTTTGTAACATTGCTTGTGGCCTTCCTGCCATTACTCTTCCATTGGGATGGCTTTTTGCATGCAAACAACATATTTAATAAGTGGCTGTTATGTGCTATGGTCTCTATTGGGTGCTGGAGTGAATGAGACAGATCAGGTCCCGGGTCAGAGTTGGAGAGGTGAATGTCTCCTCAGGGGATTTGGGCACGTAAGTAGGGAGCAGCTGGTTAGTAGGATGGGTACAGGTGTTATAGGAGGAGCCTGAGCTAGATTTGGGGTCAGGAGACTCTTGGAGAGAGGAAAACAGAGAGTAAGGGTTCATGTGAGTTGGCCAGGTGAATGGTGGTGATTTAAGCATGGTAACAGCATTTCCGAGCCTCTGGACAGGAGAGAGCACAGTGTGTGTGTAGGACCCAGAGGAGTCAGTGTGGTCGGAACATAGAGTGTAAGACTAAAAGGTGAGCAGAGAGTCCAGGAGAGCTATCCTGAGGGTCCAGGGGAGCTATCGAATGAGTTTTTCACAGGGATCAGCCTTATCAATTATAAAGAATTCTAGATACAATAAATAGGATGGGCAGGGAAGGCTGGAGGCAGGGAAACCAGGTAGGATGCTGAGAGATGGCAGTGGCCTGAATGAAGGCAGTAACTGGGACAGGCTGTAGCGAAAGCTGGACAGATTTGATAGGCATTTAGGCTATTGGTCTAAAGAGCTTAAGAAGGGAAGGAGGGGCATCAAGGAAGATCGTTCCCAGGTCGTAACTTGGGGAATTGGGTGAATGGTGACAGTATACACTGGGACAGTGTACACAGCCCGCAGAGAAGGACTTGGGAAAAGAATGGGGAGGAAGGAGAAGCTGCCTGGTTTTGATTGCCAGAGGGCTGAGCCTGTTGCCTATGGGTCTGTGCTCCCATCCATGAGCCCTCCTCTTTCTGTCGCCTCACCTGTGGCCCCTCTGCAGGCTCTTCATCGATGGTGACCGCATAGACGCCCCCGGAGTGAAGGAGCACCTGCTGCTTGACTTGAGCCTGGAAGCTGAGTACAAAATCCAGGTGCTTCCCTACAAGTCCATCTTGAATGAGCTCAAGGCTCTGTGCACCAGCCTCTCCCCGAAGGACAAGGTGTGGGTCAGCGACAAGGCCAGCTACGCTGTGAGCGAGGCCATCCCCAAGGTTGGTAACCCCACTGAAGCCCAGATAAACTGCCACACTCCCCGGGCCTGCCCCTTCCCAGTTCTGGCATCGCATGGCCTTGTCTTGGAAGCAGAGGTCGGTCAGGCAGACCCCCAGGACTGGCTGTTGGGTCGGAGGTGTTGTCTCCCTGGATGAGCCCTTTGGGCTGGAGCCATCCTGAGAGTCTCAGGGCCCTTAGAGCCCACCGGGTCCTGTACTTTCCAGAGTATGATACGAAAGACGGTCTTCATTGGTACACAATTCTTTTATTTATTTATTTATTTTATTTTTTTATATTTTATTGATTTTTTTACAGAGAGGAAGGGAGAGAGAGAGAGAGAGAGAGCTAGAAACGTCGATGAGAGAGAAACATCGACCAGCTGCCTCTTGCACCCCCCCCCCCCCACCGGGGATGTGCCTGCAACCAAGGTACATGCCCTTGACCGGAATCAAACCTGGGACCTTTCAGTCCACAGACCGACGCTCTACCACTGAGCCAAACTGGCTTCGGCAATACTTTGATTTATTTAAAGTTATCTGCTTTCAAAGTGTTTAGTGTATACTAGGGAAAAATATAACCAGCATATGATAGCGTGATATCAAAATTAGTTCTTCAGACAAAGTTGAGTTTAAGAAACTAAGTTGATTTCAAGATAGTTTAAAGAAAAGCTGTAAGTAAATGCAAGAGCAGGGGGTATGAGAAAACCTGAAGTTTGGGGAACATGACTCCACTCCCAGTCCCCCCACCATCTTATAAGTAAGGAGACGTAGGCCAAGAGAAGCTTTGGGAATTGGCGACTTGTCAAAGATCAAATAATAGTGGTAGCCCTGCCCTTGACTGATACTTGTCAAGGCGATACTTGTCCCTTCATTTTAATTGGAGCGCAGGGCGGGACTGGAGTCCAAACCACCTGAAATGCCACCATTCTGTCCTCCCTGGACCTCTGGCCGCCAGATGGCCATTGACAAGCCCAGTGATGTCCCCCTTCTCCACTGAGCTTGGGCCCTCTGGGGAGAGCCCAGGCCTGGGCCTCCAGACCTGGCTTGTCACACCCTTGCCACCGTCACACTGTGAGACACTCAGTTACCCAGAGCTTTTCTTGATTTAAGTGGGATCACGCCTGCCTTCTCTGTGTGTGAGAGAGAAAATAACAAGGGAGCAAAAGGCCTTTGAGAAACTTTGTGAAGTATGAGGTGGTCCTGATTCCCCCTCCCTATAACACAGGCTGGATTCAAACTTGTTCTCAAATGGGGAAGGGTTTTCCCAGCTCTTCAAGGTCAGACCATGAACAGTACTGATGTGTGAGCCCCGAACGAGAAGGGAAGGAGCAGGAATCCTCTCTCGTCAGACATGTGTGTCCCCAGACATTGGAAAAAGCTTCCTTTATGCAGCAATAAAGGGGTTATTTCAGTCTAACTTTGATCCCTTAGGGAACTCTCACCACAACCATGGAAGCTTGAAAAGCAATATCTTGCTGATCTGGCAGCCAGCAGTCTCAAAGAGCTCAGGGGGTAGGTGATAGAAAAGAAATACCTTGTTTGATATACTTCATTTTTTAAAAAAAATATATTTTCAGTGATTTCAGATAAGAAGGAAGAGGGAGAGAAAGATAGAAACATCAATGATGAGAGAGAATCGTTGATCGCTGCCTCCCGCCTGCCCCACATTGGGAATCAAGCCCACAACCCAGGCATGTGCCGGACTAGGAATCGAACCGTGACCTCCTGGTTCATAGGTCAATGCTCAACCCTGAGCCACAACTGATGGGCTACTTCATCTTTTTTGATGAGTTCAAGCCCCTTTCATTATGCTCAGTCATCAACCAATAGAAGCAGGTCTTTGGATCCCATGGCTCGGCCAGCTTAGGTGGGTCCTGAGTGGAAGTTCTTCCAGTGGTTTGTGTGAAGTGTGGTGTGCCAGGTGAAGAGGTGGTTGCCTTGGTCTGGTTGAGGCGAGCCAACCTCGATCTTCCATTCTACTGCCCTTTGCCCCTAGGAGCATCGCTGCTGTATGCCTTACACCCCCATCTGCATTGCCAAAGCTGTGAAGAATTCTGCCGAATCAGACGGCATGAGGCGAGCTCATGTGAGTAAGGCAGCCTGTGCAGAAGAGGGGATGTGTGGTGGTCCGAAGGCCCAGCTCCTCACCTGCTCTGTGGTCTTGAGCTTGGCACAAGGTTGGAACCTCTCTGAGCCTTCTAGAGTTAATGAAAGAATGCCTATGGGTCTGTGCTCCCATCCATGAGCCCTCCTTTTTCTGTCTATGGGTCTGTGCTCCCATCCATGAGCCCTCCTCTTTTTTTAGTGATTTCAGACAAGAAGGAAGGCTAGATCTTGACAAACTAGAATATGCAACACAAAAAGAGATATGGATGATGACAGTTTAGATGATGGTGATATCACGATTACAAAGATGAAAACGAAGAAGGCGAAGCCTCTTAAAGGGCCTAGATTGTGTTTTTAAAACCAACGGAGGGTCTAGAAAGATTTGGGGCTCAGAGATAGCTTTTGGCAGTGGACTGTCTTTTATGGTCCCTATAGGATAGGAGTGAACCTGCTGAGGGAGCTGCGTGTGCTCTGAGGGGGGGTCCTTCCTCACTGTACCTGAATTCTGGACAGCTGAGCAGCCTGTCCCTTATAGGGGACTGCTGCAGACTTGTTGCAGGAAATGCACGTTGAGCCCTGATTGCTGATGGTTTGTGCCCTGCAGATACAGCCCTCTCTGTATCATGTTAGGACTAGGTTCTGAAGCCGCTATTTGATTTTCAGTAATACTTGAAAAACCATTTCTATTGTTTGCACAGATTAAAGATGCTGTTGCCCTCTGTGAACTCTTTAACTGGCTGGAGAAAGAGGTTGGTTCTTTAATCTTTGTTTAATAAATGGATACAGAATGTCCAGGAATTAATATGTGTGATTCTGACCAAGGCACTTTCTGTGCTCTGGTGTTCACAGTGTCTAAGATCTGGATCTGATTTTAGTCCTCTCTTTTAATAGTTTTATTTTTCTTTCTGGAAATTTGCTTTGTGTGTATTTAAAAATTTTATTTATTTATTTATTTATTTATTTATTTATTTATTTATTTTCTTACTGATTTCAGAGAAGAAGGAAGAGGGAGAGAGAGATAGAAATATCAATGATAATAAGAGAGAATTATTAATCAACTGCTTCCTGCACACCCCACACTGGGAATCGAGCCTGCAAGCTGGGCATGTGCCCTGATTAGGAATCGAACCTTGACCTCCTGGCTCATAGGTTGATGCTCAATCACTGAGCCAGGCCAGCCAGGCTCTTTGTGTACAGTTTGAACATCAACTTAAGCCATTAAACTTTTTATGTTAATTCCTGCCCTTTCACTCCCTGTGGTTGACAGGAGGTTAGTTTCTTTGTGCTATTATTGCATGATATCAGATTCCCTTTAAATATGAAAAGTAACTTATATTGGCCATAGTGTGACTATTTTTCTCTCCACTGGCTGTGTTCATCTATGTAAACCATTTTTTCATTGTAAACCATTTTCACACAATTCTCAGTATGCAAATAAGATTTTGTTTTGTTTATTTTATTTACTTGGCATTCTAATGTGAGCATTTTCCATGTGCTTTGAGGCTTTTAAGCAATGATTTAGATGGAGACTGCATTTAGTGGCTAGACTGATTTAATTACCCATTCTGCCTATTTTCAGATGTCTAGATTGTTTTGAATGCTTTTGCTATTATTGGTAACTCTGTAATAATATCATCAGACTTATCTTTATTATTTATTTTGGATGACATTCTTAGGAGGGGATGTTTTAGAATTTGTTAAACTTAGATGTATAAGTTTTGGAAGGTGCCAGATGTAATCCTGAGATATAAAATAGTGAGTGGAAAAACTAAATAGAAACCCTTCACCTTGGATAGCTTTGGTGAGAGCCTTTGAAATTCCCTCCTTGTTAAAGATGAGACCTCATCTGCATCCTATACATTGGACAGTTGGGAATGGGAGCTGAGGAAAAAGTAAGCTTTCAGTATACCTGCCCCTTTTAATGTGGAGGAGACACATGTATGATAATTTCCTCCTTAGGTGCCCAAAGGTGGCGTGACGGAGATCTCAGCTGCTGACAAAGCAGAGGAATTTCGCAGGTAAGGGTGTGTTGAGGGTCCGGGGAACCTTGTGTTCATCTCCCTGGCGAATTAAATGAGGCCGGGAGGATATGATTCTCTGCACAGTAACAAACTGTCCCTCTGCTCCGTGTGTCTTTCTGTCCAGGCAACAGGCTGACTTTGTGGACCTGAGCTTCCCGACAATTTCCAGTACAGGACCCAACGGTGCCATCATTCACTACGCGTAAGCCGCTGGGGAGCTGCTGCCCAGCTTTGCGGCTGCTCCTGCACCGGGGCTGAGCCGGGGAGGCCCGTGCCTACCGCTGTGTGTCCACTGACACTGTTCCTCTATGGGCAGTAAGACCTTAAGGTCTTATTTTCTCTAAATCCCCCAGTCTCTGCGTCTGGGAACCTCCTCTTAGGCTCGGATGTATGATTAAAGTTCTCCATGGGGTAGTCAAATGGTTGTCCCTCCCTCCTCTCTGAGACTGTGGGAGTTGTGTTCAGAGCCTTTGAGTCTTGATAATTAGAATTTTTTTAGTGTGTGTGTGTGTGTGTGTGTGTGTGTTCCCTATAATCAGCTTTCCCTGATGTACTAGTCCTAAAAAACTCCATACTAAAAAACCTTATCACTTTGTTGTGGACCACCCAGTTATGGATGGGGAAATAATCAGCACTTCCTTTTCCCTCTCTGTGGGCTTGAATTTGGGGATTTTACCAGGAGACCTGCAAGAGCCCATGGACCAAGAGCCGAGCACCCCTGCCAGACAAGAGGGTCTGCCAGGTTCACCGTGCTGCACTCGGGCACAGGCCCCCACCCCCTTTTTGATCATTCCTTTTCGCGTTTCTGGGCTTAGGGCAAATTCGGGAGCTGTGTGTGGAAGCTAGTCACAGATGTGAGTGCACAGCTCTCTCGCGTGAGTGCCTCTGTTCCCACATTCAGATGTCAAAAGGACACCAGCTCCTGTCTTATGTTTCACTTAGGTGATAAATTTCCTGGCTGGACACTATCCTAGCATTTCCAGATAATTAACACATTAAAACATTTCAGAGCAAGGGTGGGGATTTGCTTTTCCTCCTTTATTGCCAAGGAGGGGGTGGTGCTTGGAAATACAGGAGCACCTCTCTCAGCTGCGGGGCAGAACCCTGGACTGCTCCCATCCCTTTTTAGCATCTCTCAGGGCAGTGACATTGTGTGGAAAAAGGCACGAGGAAATGAGATCACTTCTTAAAAATACCTCAAGCTCCTTTGAAAAAAGTGCTCCGGCATAAGAGCATCATGATCCATCCCTTTTCTCAGCAAAAATCCCATGTAGTTTTTCTCCCCAATGGAGCCATTCACCTGCCTGTCTGATGGTCTGAGAGGCAATTGGGGAGGCAGCTGATGGGGTGAGCACTGAGGGAGGAGGGACGTGGAGTCTGAGGCATGGACACACACCCCGAGATAAGCGATTCTAGGCTGCTCTCTGCCTAGTTTTCAAGACTCTAGTTTGGCCCTGTTGTGAATATCGATAATTATTTTTCGATATTCACAAAATATAAATTATCTCACGAATACCTATTTTGTTCTAGACACAAAGGGAGATAGGCATAAAGAAGTATGTTATTCTTCCTTTTCATAGCTCTTTCTCCAGTTGGGGAGATAGGTAGACTGGGTCTTTAAATAGTGGAAGTTTAATATTAGTTGGAATCATTAAGTTATTGGGCAACTTAATTTTAAAATATCATTCCAGGCTTACATAAGTTGTAAGAATAGTATGAAATGTGCCCTCCTCCTGAACTTAGCAGGTGAATATATTTGTGGAATAATTAATTTTTTATTTACTTCCATAGGCCGGTTCCTGAGACGAACAGGACCTTGTCCCTTGATGAGGTGTACCTCATTGACTCGGGTGCTCAATACAAGTAAGTGAACTGGCGTTGTTCCCTTAACTAGACAAGTGTGAATGCAAAGGTGGCCCAATGTGTAGAACTCCACTCTGTTGAGTCAAGGCATTTGAGTAGGGGGGCGAGCCAGTCTCCAGCCGAGAGCTCAGCTGGTTATCTCATTCTGCACTGGCTGTTAATTAAGTCTTTCCCATGTCTTGTCCTGCTTTTCACCCCTCGTTGACATAGTCCAGTTGTGATTCTCGTCCACAAAAGACTGACAGAAACAGTAAGCCCTTGGCCGGAAGTTGTTAAATACTAAATAAATAACTGAAAGTGAGCTTTCAGAACCACTGCAAAGTCTTCTGCCCCCACCCATGAACTTCCTGCTGTCTCTCTGGCCTTGCAACGGTTCAGGGCCTTGTGAAATGAGGGCATGACTTTGAATGAATGAGTGAGAAATGAAGGGTGCTCCTGAATTTCTGAATTTCCTTCTTCATGTCTTGCTACTTTCATCATCATCCCCTAGAGTAGTTTCTCAGAGGAGAACCTAAAATTGGATTGGGTCTTGATGTGGAACCCATGAGAAGGAGCTGGAGTAGGTGTTGTCTGCAGTAAGAGAGTAGGAGCAAGGCCTTTTCATGGTCCATGCCCCACTGCCACCGGGACTAGGGCTGATGGAGAACCTCATTAAATGAACTCAGCCAAGTACATGGAGACCATAGCCCAGCCTTGGGTGTCAGTAATGGCAGCCTAGCACTTAAGGCATGGGGTGTAAACTCTGGTTTGCTTTTACAGTTTAGCAGGACTCGGAAGTAATCCTTTCTGTGTCAGGGCTGTGGATTAGGGTGTTCAAAGAGACGCATTGGGGATTTTTACTTCCAGCAAACTTTCTGTCCTGATAAGAGGAATTGGAGTTTGGCTGTCATTTGCTAGAAACAGGCTCCTGTTTACTTTGTTTCTCTGCCTTTTCTTCATAATTCCCACAGTGCTGTCTCTCATGAAATAGTCCTCACATTTCAGACCAATAGCGTGTGAGTCGGGGCCTGAGTTCACTCCCACTGCACTGAGCCATCCTTGCATTCACACTCTGTCTCATTTTATTTTGGATAACAACCTTATTGAGACATAATTCACACACCACACAATTTACTCACTTACAGTGTACAATCCATGGTTTTTAGTGTACTCACTGAGTTATGCAACCATCACCCCAGTCAATTTTAGAACATTTTCATCACCCCAAAAAGAAACCCTATTCCCATTCCCATTCCGGACTCCTCGCATTTTGCCCTCCCCAGGGAAAAATGTCTCTGTGCGTTTGCCTATTCTGGACATTTCATATCAACGGAATTGTATGGACTTCTCTGTCTGGCTTCTATCATTAGCATAATGTCTTCAAGGTTCATCCATGTTGTAGCACATGTCAATACTTTATTCTTTTTAGTTGCTGAATAACATCCCATTGTATGAACACCACATATTTTGTTTATTCATTTGCCAGTTGATGAACATTTAGGTGGTTTCTACCTTTTGGACATTGTAAATAATGCTGCTATGAACACTTGAATATAGGTCTTTGTGCAGATACATGTTTTCATTTCTTTCTTTCTTTCTTTTTTTTAAATAATTTTTATTGATTTTTTACAGAGAGGAGGAGAGATGGATAGAGAGCTAGAAACGTCGATGAGAGAGAAACATCAACCAGCTGCCTCTTGCACACCCCCTACCGGGGATGTGCCCGCAACCAATGTACATGCCCTTGACCGGAATCGAACCTGGGACCTTTCAGTCCGCAGACCGATGCTCTACCACTGAGCCAAACCGGTTTCGGCATATGTTTTCATTTCTCTTGGGTATTTACTGAGGTGTGGGATTGCCAGGTCATATGGTAATTCAAGGTTTGAAGGAACTGGAAACTGTTTTTCAAACTGGCTGCACTACTTTACAAGTTCATCAGCGATACATTGAGGGCTCTAATTTCTCCACACCCTTGCCCAACTCATATGTGAGCAAATGCTTATTTTGACTGAAAAATAACTTGCCTTTTTCTTTTGGAAAGAGATGGAACCACAGACGTGACCCGGACGATGCATTTTGGGACCCCTACGGCCTATGAGAAGGTAAGGTGGAGCAGAAAACCCGACAGGCCCTCTCTGCTTTCTTAAGAAGAGCATTGTTTTTATGAAAAGGGATTGTATAAATATGTAAAAATTATGTGTGGGATAGTAAAATAGCCCATTAATGTGGAGTCAGGCTTATCTGCTTTATGACATCCAGTTAATTAAGCATTAGTGACCTTTTAAAAGCATTCTGTCTGCTAAGGTCAAAGCAGCTCAGATTCAAGTTTAAATGGCTTTGGCCTCGAGTCAGGAAGTCTCTTTGGGGATGAGAGTGGGTTACTGAAGTCCATGCTTTTTATAAACAGTATCTCGATTTTTTTCAAGTTCAGTGTTTCTGTATCTGGACTCATCTCTTCAGGCCCTGCAGGGGCACACACTGCTCAGGTTCTGGTCTGTCTGTCAGGAGAGGAAGCAGCTGTGAGGTAGAGAGATATACCAGGAATCTGGAGACCGAACTTCAGGTCCTGTCTGCTGCCTGTTGGCTCCGTGACCTGGAATGAAGCACTTAGACCATCCATAGACACGGGGATAAAAGCACCCGCCTCCAAGGCTGGCCGGGAAAGTTCCATGAGCTGAGCAAGTTCCAGGGTCCCAGTCACTGCTCAGTGCATGTTGGCTGAGTCTCTGAGTGAATCTCACAGGGGAGCCCCTCAGGAAGTTTATTCCAAGAAGGAGGGTTTTCTGCAATGCACTGGGGCAGTTTCATAGTTTTGGTCCCTTGCCTTGTCTGTCTTTGGGCACCAGCACCTGACAAGAGTTTGATCTTGGGTCCAGATACCCTTGGGTGTGGTTCTCTTTGTGCTGCGGGAAGAGCCCCAGACCAGATTGAGGAGTTTGGGGCCGAGTCCTGACTTGGCACAGTAGTGACAAGCCCTTGACCTTCCAAACAGCCCTCTTCTTGTCCAGGCACTAGGGATAACCCCGGGTATAGCAGGTGGTAGGGAGCCCAGAGGCAGAATTGCCTGGTTGAGGCCAGATGCTACCTCTTCGGAACTGCATGGCCCAGCCTGCTTCCTCTGGTCTCTATAGAGTGCGGATGACTGTAGTGTCCAGGCATGAGATGCGGGATGAAATGTTGTATTTAGTTAGCATCATGCCTGGCACAGAGGAGTAGCTCGGTAGTGTTAGCTCATGTCCTCAGCACTGGTTACTTTTCCTGTCTTCCCGAGGCTCAGATGACATTGAGGGTGTCCGAATGCTCATGAGAAGGGGAAGACCTGGGGGGCCATCTTTCCCATAGTTCTTTGCTGAATTTAATTCCAAGATTTTCTGGAAAATTGGTTCCAAGGCCAACCTTTTTTCCACCAGACTTTTTTTTTTTTTTTTTTTTTTTTTAAACTCTGAACTTCTGTGTGGTATTGCTGACAAATCTTCAGAGGCAAGGCTTTCTGAAGTATTAGAAAACCACAGGATTGCATGCCCGTGCCTGCTCTGCAACATGCCCCCTTGGATTTTCTTTGGCAGGAATGCTTCACGTATGTCCTCAAGGGCCACATAGCTGTGAGCGCAGCCATTTTCCCAACTGGAACCAAAGGTAGGTGGTTCCTTCTGTTACATGGCAGCCTTTTCCCATCCAGGTATCAAACACATCTCTCAGTGTCAGCCCCTAGCCCAGCCAGAGCACGGGATGGGGTGCTGCATAGAGTGAGTCTTCTGCACCCACCTACTGAGTTCAGAGGGCCTCCAAGGAAGTAGGCATAGGATTGGCCTGGTGTCAGCTGTGTGCTTCACTTCTGACCATGGATGGTGTTGGGTGACAGTGAATGGTGTTGGGTGACAATGGATGGTGTTGGGTGACAATGGATAGTGGGTGACAGTGAATGGTGTTGGGTGACAATGGATGGTATTAGGTGACAGTAAATGGTGTGGGGTGACAGTGGATGGTGTTGGGTGACAGTGGATGGTGTTGGGTGACAGTGAATGGTGTTGGGTGACAATGGATGGTGTTGGGTGACAATGGATGGTGTTGGGTGACAGTGGATGGTGTTGGGTGACAATGGATGGTGTTGGGTGACAATGGATGGTGGGTGATAGTGAATGATGTTGGGTGACAATGGATAGTGTTGGGTGACAGTGGATGGTGTTGGGTGACAGTAAATGGTGTTGGGTGACAATGGATGGTATTGGGTGACAGTGAATGATGTTGGGTGACAATGGATAGTGTTGGGTGACAGTGGATGGTGTTGGGTGACAGTGAATGGTGTTGGGTGACAATGGATGGTATTGGGTGACAATGGATCGTGTTTGGTGACAGTGAATGGTATTGGGTGACAATGGATGGTATTGGGTGACAGTGAATGGTGTTGGGTGACAGTGGATGGTGTTGGGTGACAGTGAATGGTGTTGGGTGACAGTGAATGGTGTTGAATGACAATGGATGGTGTTGGGTGACAATGGATAGTGTTGGGTGACACGGGCTCCTGGCTTCCAGGAAAGGGCAGCAGGGCATGAGCCTCAGGGCCAGTGGACATCCCTGTAGCCTCCTGCATGCCTTTCAGCTCTGGGTGAGTGCATTCTTTCAGGACAGGTGTTGGGGTTTATTTTTCTGGGCCCCTGACTTCAGATATGTAACTCCTTGCTGAGGACTGGTGGGAGGGGCACTGTATGGGGAATGCACAAGACCTGGGCCTTGAATCTGCTTAGGTTAGGCTTGCGCTTGTCTCCCTGGGGTCGGTTTCCTCATCTGTCCTGCCTGCCTGTTTTCTTGAGTCTGGTTATAATCTCATCTTTGTAAATCTAAAACCTCAGGGTCCTAGAGCTGGGCAGGGAATGTCCACTGTTATCTAGTGCAGCTCTTTTTTTTTCTTTTTTAAAAATATTTTTATTGATTTCAGAGAGGAAGGGAGAGAGAGAGAGAAAGAGGGAGAGAAACATCAGTGATGAGAGAGAATCATCCATCAGCTGCCTCTTGCACATCCCCACAAGGAACTGAGCCTGCAACCCGAGCATGTGCCATGACTGGGAATCGAACTGTGACCTCCTGGTTCATAGGTTGATGTTCAACCACTGAACCACACCAGCCAGGCTCAAGTGCCGTCCTCACCAGCTACGGGCTGCCACCCCCTCACCTGTTGGGGGATGCCATTCCCTAACCAGTATCCCGGGCAGATCCTCCAGCTTCAGACTGCGCTGCCTGCTGGGAGCTGCCCTCCTCAGGGGCTCTGATCTTTAGTTCTTCCCTGTGCTGGGCTGAAATCTGAACCCTCTGGTAACTTTTACCCCTGGTTTCTATCTCACCTTCTGGAGCCAAACATAACAAGCCTGTTCACCAAAACGTGTTGCGACTTGAAAAGTGCCGTGCAGATATCAAGTTGTTCTTCATGTGTCTTTCAGGCCACCTCCTCGACTCCTTTGCACGCTCAGCGTTGTGGGATTCGGGCTTGGATTACCTGCACGGGACGGGACACGGTGTTGGGTCTTTCCTGAACGTTCACGAGGGCCCCTGCGGCATCAGCTATAAAACGTTTTCCGACGAGCCGCTGGAGGCCGGCATGATCGTCACTGACGGTAGGACAAGCACGGATCCTCCAGTCTCCTGAAGGCTCTTTGTTGTTTCTTATATTTTAGTTATTTTAAAACTGGAAACAATTTCCCCTGGTCATCTTGAATTAAACACCTTTTACGATTATAAAAGTGATACACGTTCACTGTAGAAAAAGTGAGACATTGGAACAGTCCGAAGAAAAAGAAATCATTTGTGATCTGACCACCCAAGGGAAAAAGGACTTAATATTTCAGCATGTTAGCTTTTGGTCTTTTGTATATATACATATATTTTTTTTTCAATATATTTTTATTGATTTCATAGAGGAAGGAAGAGAGAGAGAGACAGATAGACAGACAGACATCAATGATGAGAGTGAATCATCCATTGGCTGCCTCCTGCACACCCCACATGGGGATTGGGCCCTGACCAGGAATCAAACTATTACCTCCTGGTTTGTAGGTCGATGCTCAATCACTGAGCCATGCAGGCTGGGCTCTGCTTTCTTAATTTATTGCCTATTGCTATATCATCACCAAGTTCTAGTGAATGTATTTGAATGTCTGCATCATTATGCCTCTTGCATATGCATTAGGATTTAGTTGGTGGCTCCCAGTTACTGCCCTTCCTACCCTGCAGCCAGTTTTCAAAACCTTTCGGTACCTCAGGTACTTATTAGAAGGAGCCACATGGGAGAAGGGGCATCTCTGGGCTCTCACGTCGGGTTGAGTGGGCCCTTCACCTCTCTTGCCCCTGTTTGGGGTGGGCAGGCCTCTGGGTGCCTCTCCCTCCTGGACCGCTGCTCACTGGGGGGCTTTGGTTTGCTTCAGAGCCAGGGTATTATGAAGACGGGGCCTTTGGAATTCGCATTGAGAATGTGGTCCTGGTGGTTCCTGTGAAGACCAAGGTGAGTAATTGATGTATTTACTTTTAAAATTTCCTTATTCCTTTAAATGGGGAGGATGGAGACTTTTATGCTTGGGGCTTCCTTTCCCTCATATCCGGGACTTTCCTGGGACTCACCCTCTGCAAAGCTGGAAGGAAAATCCTCAATGAATCGGGACCTGGGAATGGGACTGGTGGAGCCTCAGGCGGGCCCCTGCGTGGTGTGATTTGTGGCTGTGAGTTTACTAAAGGCAGCGTCTCCTCTGCTGGGCCGATGCTTGTTTAAAGGTTCCTCTCAGACCCTGAATTACCGGTAGTTTCCAAGCCTGGAGAGTATTTTTCACTAAAGCCCCGGGGGATTTTTCTCTGGTAAAGCCGAGGCATATGGGTAGGGCCAGGGGCAGGCCGTGGGGCAGGTGTGGTGCCCTCGGGAAGACAGAAGTTCACCTTCTCCCCCATCAGCATCACCAAGAGGTCACGGGAGCTTTACCTAGGAGACCTGTTTGCTCCTCCTCCATTGGTGACTGGGGTTTGAACGGGTGGAGGGGATTGGCTTCCATGCCTCCAGTGAGGCTGACTGCAGGGGCCTGCTCTCGGCTTCCACATGGAAGTCCCTGCCCATGAAAGTGGCTGCTCACCTCCCTCCCAAACCCCTCCCGGGACAGAGACCAGTGTGCTTGTGTGCCCTGGCTGTTCCATATCGCTCAGAGTGGGCACACTTGTTCTCTCGGGCCTGGCTGGGCCAAAGCTGGCCACATGTTTGACCATTTAACAAATGATTTGGGGAATTATACCCCAGCAGAGTCTTGAGAACCGAAACCAGAGAAGCCCCTGATCCCAGACGCCCCCACTCCCTTGGCTGCACTACCTGCCATCACAGAGGACAGTGGTCTGTGCCCCTGCTGCTGGGAGGCCTCGGTGGCCTCAGCTGTGTCCATCGGGCCTGCCATGCCTGGCTCCGAGGGCTGGCCACGCTGGTGGGGCTGACCTCACGGTGGCACCTGGTGGTGAAGAGGAGTCAAAACTTCTGTTTCCTTCCTTACCCCACAGTATAACTTCAGCAACCGGGGAAGCCTGACCTTTGAACCTCTAACTTTGGTTCCGATACAGACCAAGATGATAGATGTGGATTCTCTTACAGACAAAGAGGTAACGAGGGAGTCTGGGGAGGCAGCGTGGGGGCGGGGGAGAGCTACCTCATACTCTTTTCTGCATCCTCACTTTTGAAGTCCGAGGTCTGGGCCAGCTGAGTCCTGAGCATGAGGTGCTTTTCTTGTGGTTGCTGGGCCCCTGCATGGAGTTAGTCCTCCCGCCCCTATTGGGAGCTGTATACGCCTGCTTTGTGCCGTTATTTTCCAGGAGGGCAGGAGCCACGGCTGCCTAAGCAAACGTGGGCCACGTGTCTTCCCTACAAAAAGCCAGACGGTGGTGGGGCCTGTGGCTGTTGCACACAGTAGGTTGTTTCCCTGTGCTGCATGAAGCATTAAGGAAATGAGACGCAACTCTGTTACCATCGGCCTGAGTTTCACACAGAGAGGTGGTGCCTGCTCTCCGGGCCCCTCCGGGCTGTGGCGCTCTTTGCAGAGCAGGAGCCCAGGGTGTCACCTATCGAGTCACAGGGTTGCAAGCCTTGAAGCCCCTTCAGATCTTAGGGTGGCTCCCAGGCTCATGACGCCAAGGAAGTGGCAGGCCAAGGACCCTGGAGTAAGGCTGAGGGTTCAGGCAGGTGATCAAGGTCAGAGCAGAGACAAGGGTGAAAAACGGGGCAGGAACAACCAACAAAACAATTCCCAGATCAGGAAGACAAGCCAGAGCACAAATTCTAGAACGAGGCAGGTGGTCAGAAGTGCTGTCAAAAAGCAAGTGACTGACGGGAGCCCAAGGCAGGACAGGCATAGCTACTCCTGGAGAGAGAAGACATTTTTGTGACCAAGGCAGCCACTGGCCTTGAGTGTCTCTGGAGGCAGGAACACGTTCTCTGTGGGCCTGCCTGGTCCCGGTGCTTGCCTCTGTGGGCCTGCGGTAGGGATCCTCCCAGTTAGACGCCTTTCCTGCCTTGTTTGGCTCACAGATGGGTGACAGAGGAAGGTCACCCACTTTTGCTTAGCTTTCTTCTTTGTGTTGGCACCTCTGCTTGACCATCGGTGCCTTGGTTCAACCAAACATTCCCGCTCACAGGACCTACGTGGGTCCTGCTGATGCAGGCTATTCAGCTTGTAGACGATGCAGAACTGAAAGCACCTGTGAGCAGCCCAGGGCCAGGTGGGTCTCTTCAGCCGAAGGCCTGCCACGGCCCAGGGCTTTTCTCCAGCCCCCGTGGGGAACGACTTAAGTCAGTGGTCAGCAAACCATGGCTCACGAGCCACATGCGGCTCTTTGACCCCTTGAGTGTGGCTCTTCCACAAAATACCATGGCCTGGGTGAGTCTATTTTGAAGAAGTGGCATTAGAAGTTTAATTTAAAAAAAAATTTGGTTCTCAAAAGAAATTGCAGTTGTTGTTCTGTTGATATTTGTCTCTGTTGACTAATGAGCTTGCCGACCACTGACCCAAGTTAGGTGAAAGGGAATGAGAACACAGAGGGCACTGCCCCATTGGCATCAATCTCTTGTGGTGGCCGTTAGGCACAGCTTCCGGGGTCGTAGCTAGGGACCCTCCAGAAATAAGTCACTGTTGTGTCGGAAGCCCCAGATTTATCAAGAGGTAAATAGGAAAGGGACCCTTTTGCTAAAAGAGATAATGTGCTCTGCTTGATATGTTAAATACATTTTCCACAGTTATTTGTGGGAAATGCTTGTGATCCTAAGGTAAGACGATATCCTATAAAAATTAATTGGACAAAAGCATAGTTCAGTGATCTAGGTGTTCAAGGTATAATTCGAAGGCACAGTAAAACTCCCCAACAAGATTCTGTTCACTGGGCGTTTAAAACACCTGGTTGTGGCCTTTCACTCTCTCCCCGACAGATGGTCTTCCTTGTCACTTTGCGGAGTGTGGGGGTCGGGTCAGCATTCCCACCAATTGTCACCAGATGGCAGCAGAGGACTTTGGTTGGATGTGAACATGGGCATCACAGACTGTCAGGGCCTTTGGGAGGTTGCTCAGGTGCCTTCCTCCTCCTTCCCCATCCCACCGGGCCTTGGGGGTTTCCTTGCTGGCTCCCGCTGTGGCCTTCACTGCTGAACTGTTGAACAAACACAGCACTCACTTTCTTTTGACTCTACCTCCTTCCCCAACTCCCAGCAGGGCCCAAAGGTTCTTTATCAGTGGGGATCAGAGCCCTCAATGGGCCCAGGCCAGCTAGCAGCATCACCCCATCTGTCTGCCCTTGGGCCTTGAAGACTTGTGTGCCCATCTTGACCCCTTAGCCAGGCTTCAATACCTGGTCCAGACTGCAGACTTCAAAGCCCATGAGTTTGTAACAACACTGCCTATCCAGCAGCTCTTGGCTCCTTATAGCAACCATGCCCGTGGTGGTGCCAGTTTGCCAGCCTCGCTGCAACTGGGTGTCCAGGCAGGCCCACTTCATGGGCAGTGAAGGGAGTGGGTTGTTTTCCTCATCTCCTAAATCCCATCCACACAAGGGGGCCATCCCACCCTTTTACAGCTGCCGAACTTTCACTGTCAGACCCAGTGATCAGCCTCACCAGGCACCAAGTTCTGTCCTCCTCCTCCTCCTCTCCCTCCTTCTCCTGTTCCTCCTTTTCCTCCTCCTCCTCCCCCTCCTTCTTTTTAAAAAATCTCTTATTTCCTATTGTGACGGCCACAGGAGAGTCTGGCAGTCAAGGTCACTCCCTGCCCTGCCCTGCAGTCCCACAGTCCTGGGCCACACTTACAAGGCCCACATTCTAGTTGATTCAGCTTTGTCAGTGGATACAGGATAGGAAGTGAGCGTGTGGGCAGGCCAGCCTCACTTATGTCTCTTAGTAGGCATCTTCATAGCAGCCCAGGAACTATTTTCCAGATCCTCTCTCCTCAGCACCCTCAGATAACTTAGGTGTGGGGAATAAGGCCCCTTGGGATGGGTGCAGCCTCCTCCCTCTTCTAATGGCCTGTGAGTTTGGTTCCCAGGGTTCTGTTTGCAAGCTACTCTGCACTTAGGGAGGCCTGAAGGCATTGCTTGCCATTAGGTGTTTGTGGTTCCCCCCAACCACTGCCAGGTCACGTGGAGTAGACTTTCCGGGAGCATTTTCACCATAAGCGATATGGCCTTGTCCCATCTGTTTCCAGAGAAATAGAGCACAGGGGGTCACCTGTCCGTGAGCAGAGGGAAAGTTTGATTCTCATCTGGGGCGCTCAGTACGTGGGCCCGTGTGTCCAGCCTTTGGTAAAGGAGACACTGCGTCTGTTTGTCTTTCTCTCTCTCCAGTGTGAGTGGCTCAACAACTACCACCAGACCTGCAGGGACGTGATCGGGAAGGAGCTGCAGAAACAGGGCCGCCAGGAAGCGCTCGAGTGGCTCCTCAGAGAGACGCAGCCCATCTCCAAGCAGCACTAACGCCTGCCCCGTGTCCGTTTCCGAAAACGCTCTGGGAAAGGAAGACACTGGGCAGCCCCTGCCATCTTCCCCCTTTGCTCTCCTCCTTTCTTACCTCTCCTTTTTACTTTTAGACACTTGAGAAGATCGGAAAATCTTCTTATCCTCTTTGATATTTTCTTGCAAACACTTGATCTTTTATGATTTTTAAAAAAAATTGGCAAGAACGAGCCACGAATAAACTTGCTGCACCCGAGGCCGGGCCCCCTCAAAGCTGAGCACTCCCCCCGGGAGCCGTGGGGCAGCTGCAGCGAGTTCTCAGCCAGCGATGGGGAAGCAGAGTGCTCTGTGACGGCCAAGTTCCAGGTGCTAGCCCATTACCATGATCACCCCGATGATCACAAGATGCTATTTATGACCCGTGAATAAAAAGCCTGACGGCGCCCTGTCTCAGCTGTCTTTCTTCGCGGCGCTGGCCGCCCTGCGTGTCCGGCAAACGTGTGTCCAGGACCGGTGGCCTCTGGAACAGACATTGTCTAGACCGAAGGCCGCCTTGGGGGTGAGGAACTGGGCTCCCTGCACATTGTCTGGCTTAGTGGTAAGCCTCTTAATAGATATTAATATTTTGGTGAGTGTTTTTATTATCAGTTTTTCTGATTTTAAAATGTCATTAATATAAAAAAAAAAAGTTTGAAAGCATTGGAGTCTTGGAGCCTAGCCTAGCCTTGGAGCCTGGAAGCCTAATCTTGGACCCTATCCTCGGGGCCTAGCCTCACCTATCGCACCACAAGATCTTATTACTTGTAGACAACGGGGCTTCTCTTGACTTGCACACGGGGTGGGGACAAGCTGGAAGGGCTGGCAGAGCTGATGTCCCTGTGACCTCAGACCATCATGGCTGGGATGGGAAACTGACTTTCTGGCGGGGATGTCTGAGAAGTGGGCCATACTGTCTCCTGCGTTTTTTCTGTGGGGTAGAGCCCTAGTTGTCCACTACGATGACTCGCTTAATAATACACCCTTTATTTTCTTTCTGTGTCCACTTTCTTTTCTCCTACTGTTGATTCCTGAGGCCATCCCCCAGTAATCTATGTACATGCACAGCCTTGTTTTAGGCTGGGCTTCTTTTTTTTTTTTTAAATATATTTTTATTGATTTTTCACAGAGAGGAAGAGAGAGGGATAGAGAGCTAGAAACGTCGATGAGAGAGAATCATCGACCAGCTGCCTCTTGCACACTCCCTACTGGGGATGTGCCTGCAACCAAGGTACATGCCCTTGACCGGAATCGAACCCGGGACCCTTCAGTCCGCAGACCGATGCTCCACCACTGAGCCAAACCGGTGTCGGCTAGGCTGGACTTCTTTAGGGCCCAACTTAAGATGGACCCATAGAGCCACTAATTATAAATTACATACAGTTAATATATATGCTATGTAGTTAATATATAAATATGTATGTGTTATATTTAATAACATATGCTGTATATTTTTGTCAGTTTCTTTATATTCAGTATTCAGCAACATAGAGAGTGTGCCTATGTATAAAAGAATATAGATACACATCCCTTGTACAAAAAGTGGGTCATTCTGTATATAGGCAATTTGCTTTTTTAACTTGGCAATATAGCCAGGTTATTTTTCCATATTTGTACATAGAGATCTAGTTCTTTTTCATGACTGTAGACTATTCCGCTGTATGGCTATGTTCTTTTTTTAAACTAGTCTCATTCAATCCTAAACTGCTACTTTGATTTGGATGGCTTGGTCATTCACCAAAGCATGGTTGGCAGTGTCTGTTACTTTCCCCGGATACCAGAGCAGGAAATGTATTTACCATTCAGAACCAGGTGGCAGCAGAGGAAATTTTATTGCTTTTGATAGGGTGAATGCCAAAAGACAACCTTGACAACCTTTCACCACCCCTTCCTTCTACTTTTCTCTCGAGGATCATTAATTCCAGCTTGCTCTGTGGGAGGAAGCAGAGAACACGGCTAGTTCTCAGGTTATGTTTGTCATGTGGCCTCACAATAACAGGATATATTTTGACCCACCAAAGATCAATTATTGAATGCCTTTAATTCACACTTGCTCACAGTTCTAATATGTGAGACACTTGTCTTTTTGCAATCGTGGTTTCATGGAGATATAATTCACATACCATGCAATTCACCAATTTAGATGAGACATGTCAACACTGGTGATTTCTTCGTCTCCCCAGAAGGTGTCATGCTGCTTTTGCATGGTATTTATCACATCTGTAAGCCAATCTCTGTTTTGTCATGATCGCCTGGTGGTCTGTTTTCCACTAGACAGTGAACTCTATGGGGGTAAGAGGCCATATTTGTTCTCACAGTGTCATCTCTGGTGCAATGTCATCTCTAGCACAATGTCACCACTAGCACCTAGCACAAAAAAGCCTCACAAATAATTTTCTGTTTATTCAACAAATATTGATTAAGCATCCAATGAACTGATTCTAGTGACTTATACAGTGTGAGAAAGGAAAGCAAGAGCCCTGAAGAGGATGGTTATGGAATCGTTGATGAGAGGAGAGTTGCAGGAGCGACATGATTTAAAGAGGGAATGAATGGCATATAGAAGTTATAAGACAGTTTCTCAGTCTCCAACAAAGAAAGGCTCTTGGCAGGTCACACTTCTGCTCACATCTACTGCCAGGTGCCTGTGGTTCCCAGGATTACAGACTCCCTGATACAGTCAACACTATTTGGGGGACATCAAAGTGGTCGTGGGGGGTTATCATAAGCTCTGGGAAATTCAGCTGAGATATTTTATTTCATTTAGCGAACATGCACTTAGCCATAGCCCTTCTTGTGGTGGCTCTTTCATGTCGGGACCAGCAGGAAGAGTGTCACCTGCTCAGAAATGGGACAGCCACAGGGCAGAATGTGCAGGACTCGATATGTTTATATCATCTCAGGCATGTCTGGAGAACACCATGTTTCAGGGTGAAAAATTCTGAAGATAAAGGACTTTTTTTTTTTTTTTCTTTTTAAGGAAAGTTTTTCTGCCACATAGGCTGGGTGTGAACGTTCCTTTTAAATAGGTTTTGTATTCTCTTTGTTGAAGGGCGGTGAGGGATAAAGGACCCATGATTAGAAGCCAAAAGACATGCGACCTGCGACCAGATCTAGCAACTCATTAGCTAATATGGTATGTCCATACCATATTTAATTAAACCTCAGCTTACTCTACTATCTCTTCATTCCTTCCAAGGTTGTCATTAGCCTCAAGAAAACTGGTGTTTTGGAAAGTATTTTCCAAATATTAATGATTGCCCCATGTAGGTCCTTAACATTTCAGGTCAGAAAGGACTTTTTGAAGATGAACTGCTATACAGATCTCACTATGGCCCAGAGAGGTGGGCTAATTTTGGGCTAAATTTGGGGTAAACTTCACATCTCCTGACTCTGAAGTCTAGGCCCTTTCAACCTCCCCAAGTCTGACCTTCTGAGCTCAGATAAAATCCTCTATCCTTTCTTCTCTTACTAAGGAAAAACAGCAACAAAAACTGTACCTTGGAGTCATTCATTGAGTCAGCCTTGTGACCTTTCCTGAATTTCCTTCTTAGGTGTGGAGGAAATTCAGTCCTTCCCCAGGCCCCCTGCTCAGTATCATTGGGAAATCTCTTATTTGTATTCCTGTCGGTGCCACATTTAATGCACCAAAGCCTGTGTTTGAAGCAATAACCAGCCTGAAGTTTATGAAATAGATTGATATCAGCTTCATGGAACTCAGGCAAGAGCAATATCTTTCCTATATCTGGCCATGCCTTTAACTCTAGGAACCTTCATACTCGATGGCCACTGAAAAAATGAAATAACAATAATAACAACAATAATAAAAAATGACAATCTTCCAAGAGCCACAGTTTTGAGTAATGTTGTCTTTAATTTTTTTTATTGATTTAATGACAAGGAGAGATTAGACTTAATAGTTTCTTCAGTTTCCAAGTACATTTTCACTTTTAAAGGAAAGACCATAGTGTGCAGCTGAAAGGTGGTTTTGTTCATCACCTGGCTTATTTATGTGTTGCGGGCTGAAAGGTATGACCACAGCCACTCTGTTTCCTCTCCAGGAAAGTAAAAATCAGGAGATGGGATGAAGACATATGTTCTTTATCAAATAAAACATTCTGAAAAGTAAGTCAGCTTTATACCTGTTCTTCCAGAAGGTCATTCCATCTCACAGGGTGAGCTAACTATTTGCACAGAGAAAACACAAGTGTCTATAGTAAGTATAGGATTTGACATTTATGATCCAACATGATTTGGCTCCATTCAAACAGTCTTTATCTCCTGCTACTTATCAAACCTGGTGAATCAGACACTTCTGTTTATTTTCTGTTTTACCTTTATTCAATCAGACAGCCTCTGCCCCTTAATTGGAGAGCTTAACCTTCTTACATTTAGTTGGGTTTTAGTTCACCATACTGCTGTTTCTTTTTCTATTTGGGCCATGAGTTCTTTTTTCCTTCTCCCCTCCTTCCCTGCATTCTTTAAGAGTACAGACTTTTTTTTAAAGCATGTTATTTTATCACTTCTAATAGCTGTTTTAAATCCCTTGCTAATAATTCCATCACCCTTTTTATTTCTGTATCTGTTTCTATTGACTGATTTCTCTCTTAAATTTGGGTCACGTTTTCATGTTTTTCTACAAACCTGGAAAGTTTTGATTGTATGCTGGATGTTGTGGTGTGGTTATCTATATTTCATCATCTTCCTGAATAGAAGTGTTAAGTTTTTGTTTTGGCAGGCAGTTTATTTACCTGTGGATCCTTTTAAGACGTGTATGCACAGAGTGAAAAAGCGTTAGAAAAATATCATGATTTAAAGTTAGAAAAATATCCAGGGGCCAAATCACTATCAGTAAGGAGTCTGGATTTTATTATAAGTAAGTAAAAAGCCATTTGAAAATTTTCAGCTAGAGAATAACATAATCTGATTTATTCTTTTAAAAAGATTGCTTCATCTTTTTGGTTCAGTTAAAAATATACTTATTA